TAATTCATAAAATAAATAAACTATCATTGGTATTTTATGTGAAATTTAATTATTTTAAAGATTTAAAACAATAGAAATGAATAAATTTGAATAAAAGAAGAAAGATCTCATTAGTTGATTTTCTTTACTTCTATTTGCTAGTTATGGGAAAGAACTTTTGCAATTTGGATGGAAGAAACTAATTTAATTGAGTAAAATGAAGAATATGATTAGTATTTTAAGGAAGTCATGTATATATATAAAAGCTACGTAACTCTTTTATATTATAATTATTTAAATGATACTGAAATGAATAATTTATTTAAGAAATTCTTGCAAACAAACTTGGAATTGTTAGAATAATTATAAATGTACATAAAAAATTATTAGTTTCTTACCAGCTCTCAAAATGAAGAAGAGAAATTCCGATTAATTAGAAATCTTGATAGTGACTAATGGTTGTAGAAATTTTTAATTTACTAACAATAGGTAAACGTTCCTTATAAAAATTAAATTAAATGCTTGAGTAGTTTTTAAGATAGAATGAGAAAGATTTGTGTTAAATAACTATTTTTTCACATAAGGGACTAACTAACTACATTCTACCTAAAATAAGATTTGATAGAAGCTTTAATAAAGGTTTTTTCAAAATTTAACCTTACTTGAGAATTTTTCATCTGATAATGAAATATTCTTATGGAAATTATTAGGATTCATATAAAAACCATTAATATAAATTCATTATCACCTTATGTATTAAAAATTAGCTTATTTGAGTAATCTTTATAAATTAATTCGTTTTTTATTGTTTTGTTTTACTGGTTCAAATTTATTAAATCGAAACCTTTTATTTACTAATAAATAATTTAAATATTTGTTTAAAGATTTATTTGATTTATAAATTATTGATTAATTATGAAAAATAGATTATTAGATAAGCTTGGAGGTTTTTTTTGTTTTTTGATAAAGTATGAAAGGAAGAAAGCAAATATTTAAAATATTTTGAAGGATTCTTATCTAAGATTTTAAGTTTAAAATGAATTTTTTTATTATTAAATTTGAAATACACTGATATTAAATAACAAATATTATGAAAGTTATATTTTTTTACAAGGATAGCTGAGATAATACATTTTGGTAAAATGAACAATAAAAAAGAGATTGAGAGGAGAATTTAAAAGGATTTGATAATTGAATTGATAAAGAATGAGTTTTTGGATAGGTCATTTGTAAATTAGCCAAATCATTTGAAAGGCTTATAAAGGATTTTATGGTAGTTGAAATGATAGGCACATAAAAGAAAATGATGTGAAATAAATTTAAGAGTAGGATTAGAATAGAGAGATGAACTTGATAATAAGCAGATTTCTGAGGCTTAATATTTGTATTTAAATCATTCATATTGGATATTATCTAATAAAGTGTTTGGTATATTTGCAGATTAATCTAGATTCGAAAAATAGGAAGAATTCATAGATTACTACTGGATATTTAAAATTAGGTAACTAAACATATTAGAATTGTTAAAAATTATTTAGTTTATTGTATACTTATAAAAAGGATGATAAGGGAAGGTTTTGATAAAATTTAAAGTTTTATAATTATATTTTTAGAAGAAGAAACTAGAAAATATGGAGAGAAGAAGAGATTAATTTATTGGCTCCTTTTTTAGAGTACCTTAAGGATACTTATGTAAATTGATGTTAAAAAGTATTTATGAGATATATAATTTGTCCATTATGATTGAGTTTTTGATTATTAAATTATAATATAAATAGAAAAGATGGGCAACTGCACTGGAATATGTGGTAAGGATATGGTAGCACAAACAATTGAAGACAAGAAATAGAAGTTGGATATAGAAGAATAATAGCATGTGGAAATAGCTTTGGCTATTGAAGATATGCCTTAAGATGATGCCCAATAGTAAGCTTAACCAAAAGAAGAAAATTTAGATGAATAAAAGTAGGAACAACACTAAGATGATAAATAGAAATAAGAGTCTTACCAGGATAAAGTAAAATAGGTAGAAAGCATCGAAGCTTCAGTTACTCCAATTAAAGATAGTTAAAATAATCAACAGCCAGTTCCTGATGAATAGAAAGAATATGAGCCAGTAACATTGGAGACTGGTATTATTTTTGAAATATTTAAAAAGGTGCCACATATGCTGGTTAATGGAGAGGGAAAATGAGATGGGGTTGGGGAAAATAAGTTTGGCCAGATGGTATTTATAATAATCTAGCTTTTAGGTTCTGTATATGAAGGATATTGGTAGAATGATAAGGCATGTGGAAAAGGAAAGTTAATTCATGCAGATGGAGATATATATGAAGGAGAATGGTTAAATGATAAAGCTAATGGAGAGGGAAAATATATTCATAATAATGGAGCAAAATATGTAGGTTTTTGGAAGGATGATAAATAACATGGAAATGGAAAAGAAACATGGCCTGATGGAGCACATTATGAAGGGTAATATGAAGAGGGTAAAAAACATGGGAAAGGGAAATTAGTATTTGCAGATGGTTCTATGTATGAAGGATAGTTTGATAATAATGATATACATGGATATGGTGTATATGTTTGGGCTGACAATAGAAAATATTAAGGAGAATGGAAGAGAAACAAAATGCATGGGAGAGGAACAACAACTTGGCCTGATGGACGTAGTTATGAGGGAGAGTAAAAAATATTTTACTATTGATCAGTTATGAGGATGATAAGAAACATGGATAAGGAACATTTGTTTGGAGTGACGGTAGAAAATATATAGGAGAATGGAAAAAAGGTAAATAACATGGAAAGGGAATCTTTGTTAAGCCAGGTGGAGAATAAAGAGAAGGAGAATGGATTGATGGTAGAAGATAAAGATGGTTAGATGAAGCAGCAGGAGAAGGACATAATGCTAATAATTGATTAAAAAGATATTTTAAATTCCAATTTAACTTTCTTAATATTAATTTTTATATATTTTTTATAAGCTCTAATACTTATTACATTTTACTTCATATAAGAAATAATATATATATATATTATTTTAAATTGATCATTATTCTTATCCACCATCATCACCTTATTCATCTTTTTCTCCTTCTCCATCTCCATCTCCATCTCCTTATTATCCATCACCATCTTATTATCCATCTCCATTATCTCCATCTTATTATTATCCATCATCCCCTTATTATCCATCATCACCATCACCTTATTGTCCTCCATCTCCTTATTATTGATCTTATTTATCTTATTATTAACCATCATCTCCTTTCTATTGATCTTATTATTTATCATCTTCCTTAGGTTATTATTTCTTGTCATCCCTATTATTGTAATATTTAATACTTTTTTGTTTTAGAACCTTTTGGACTAAATTCATCTAATTGATCTAATTTTGCCTCTTCATCTTTTTTAACAATTTGACTAAATTATTATTCAGCTTCAGCAATTAATTCTGCTTTTCTTTATTCCCATTTTTATTATGCAGCCTTGTTATCTTTTGGAACAACCTTCTTCATTAAATCTTATTATTTTTTAATAGCTTCTAAATTCTTCTCTTTTCTTGATTCTCTATCAAACATTTCATTCATAACATCCTTTTCTCTAAATTATAACTAATATAGAGAATCACATAATTCTAATAAAGTAACTGTACCATCTTAATCACCAATAGCTACTAATTTACCAGCATTATGATGTGCACCACCATTAGCATTTATTTTAATACATGTTAATGCTGTCTCACTTACTTTGTGACTAAATGCTATTTCATTTTATCTATAATAATAATCCCAAACATCCATCCAACCATCTTTTCTAGTCAAAAAGAATACGCCATTTCTTGTAGGTGACCAACATCCATCAGTTAAATAACTTCCATGATATTTTGTTCTCATTATAGGAGTTTTAATATCTTCAACCCAAATCTTGGCACTCCAATCTCCAACTGTTAAAAAGAATTTAGGATTAGGTGGACTTCTATTAATAGACATAACTGGACCTAAATGACGACCACTCTCTAATCCATATCTTGTTGTGATTTCTACATTTTTCTTTGGCTTTTTATTTGCAACCATCAGAGATCCCATCTCTGTTCCTATTACAAATTTTGTTGGACCTGCTTCAGTATTATATTCCAATACTGTTGCACCAATTAAAGGATCATTTGGATTAGATCCTTCTGTTACATTCAAAGTCTCTATTGGACCTTCATTTAATTTTCTTGTATCCCACCATAATACTCTACCGTCAGTTGATGTTGTAACACATTCTGTACCAGTCTTACTAAATAACCATTAAAAATGTGTTATTGGATCATGATGAGATTTTTCAACAGGAGATGTTAAAACTGGTTATTTACCTCTCTTTACATCCCAAACTGCTACTAATCCATTATAACAGCCACCTCCAATTTAATCAGATAACTTTGGATTATACATTAAATTTGTTATTGGTGAATTTGTTTCTAATTCGAATTCAGGACTATTTGGATTCTATAAATCCCAAACAAATGAAGATTTTAACACTCCTTCAGGCATCTACTAAAATCTGCTTATTGCATATGACACAGCTGCTTTTATTGGACCTTCAGGATGCCATGATATTTCAGAAACAGATCTCTTTACTCCTTAAGATTGATCTCTACATTTATAATCCTCTACATTATTACTTGAATAACATTAGAGTTTTTGTACTCAAATTCTCAACTTGATGCTCACTTTCCTCATCTAAAAAATACTCTTCAAATAAATCAATTTAATTATTTTGAAGAATGCACTTCTCTACAGTATTACTAAGTTCTTTAACCGCCACTGCAAATGCTGCATCTTTTTCAAACCTTCTCCTATATTTATTTTAGTCTTGTTGCTCCATTGGGTCTATACCTGCTGGCCACTAAAAACTGTTGCATAAATCTAATTTACCCCTCCTTCTTTATGACACATCACTTTATCACCTGTTGACACCCTTTCTGTATTCACCTATAATAATGCTTCATAACTTCTATACTGAATGTTCAGAGTATTCTGCTATATTATCTAAATCTATGTGATTTGGATTTCGCTTCACATAGTTTGGGATCACTGCCAATGTCTTTGTATATCCTGCAATTTTAATCTCACTATCTTAAAAATTGCAAGGTTTCCCCAAATCACGGCGTTTCCTCTAATATGTATAATAATCGGCCATTTATTGATAATTTAATATTACATGTATATAATTCAAAATACAATTATATACTTCATTACCATTTCACCTAATTCAAATACAAACTTATTTAGTAAAGCTCTATTTAAAATTTTTACTCACTTCTCTATCTATTCAAGCATATTATTAAACAGACACTACTTATCATTTTAATCATCATCACAGCTGACATTCATAAGATACATATATCTTTTTTATTTTTTTTTTTTGGAATATTGTGATTTTTAAAAGATCTGTTATGTTTATAAAACGGAATGCGTCTATATAAAAAGGAATAACTTTAACAAACATTTAAATTTGATAAATTTTATTTAATATAAATAATTTTTCAGTCTAAATTAATAAGAAAGAAATTTTAAATGATGAAACAGCATAAAATAATTAAATAATTATGATGTCATATTTAATTTGAAATATATCTTGTCTTTGTTTTGTGATTATAAAACGAATAAAATCGAAAAGAAAAAATTATTAAATAAATAAAGATATATGTCATAACTCAAAGGATAGACAAGTACATACAAGATCTTACCATATTAATTCATCCATGTATTGGATTGTAATACGAATGTCACAAGAGTTGAGGTTGGCCCACAAACATTTATTCGCTAAGACCATGAATAAGTATTAATGAAATAACAACAAAGGTTACGTCTGGTCAATAACCTTAAAAAATGATAGTGCTTCCTAAGCAATATTATTGTATAATCGAAAATCCAATAGTAAAGGATAAAGATGGTCAACCAACAAAGGATAAATATGGGTGAGTTACTTAATGGTATTTTTAGTTAATTTGTTGTACTTCATGGTGAACGAGAAATTCGTTTCTTTGAGTAGTATAGTACTCCTTTCCCTCTGTATCCAAAAGAAAACTTACTCCAATAGCCAACAAAGTTGACAATAGTGAAAGAAGGAAGTGCTTTGAAGATTGAGGCCCAACGTAATTTTAAAAAAGGAGAAGATGAAATGTATCTTATTATATAAAAATAATTTAGTTTAGCAGGAGATCAATACCTATTTAAAGGTCCAGCTACTTATTACCCAAGAATAGAAGAAAAAATTTTGGGTTAAATAGATTCTATATTAATAAAAGAGAATTAGGCAATTCTAATAAGAGCAAAATAAGAAGAAACAGATTGTAATGGTTTGGTGAGAAAATCTGGTGAACTATGGTTGATTAGAACTCCAGGATATTACTTACCTTAGGTGTATGAAGAGTTTGTCAAAATAATAGATGCTGAAATTTTAGATAATCGAAAGGCGTTGCATTTAAAAGCAATATAGACCTTCAAAGATGTATATGGTAATTAATGAATAATAATAATGATTAGGTATTGAGAGAAAGGCAGGAGAGGAATATTTAATAACATCAGAACAAACATCAGCACATATAGTTGATGTATTTGAAGAGTTGGTTACAGTTATAAATTTGACAGTGTTAGATCCAAGATAATATTGTGTAATAGAGAATCCATTTGATTTTGAAACTTAAAGAAATAAATTTGGATCTAAAGTTTTAGTGGAAGGTCCAAGAAGTTTTTTCCTTAGACCTAATGAAACTTTATAAAATGGAATTTAAGATTCATATATTTTATCAGAAGACTAGGCATTACTTTTGAGGGCAAAAGAGAAATGTAAATTCACTGAAAAGAAGTTGGTTAAGAAGGATTAATTTGAAGAAGTAGAAGTAGAATATGAACCAGGTAATAAATGGATGATTCATGGTCCATGCATTTATACACCACCAATAGTAGTAGAGGTAATTGAAAAAAGAGAGAGAATTCCTCTAGATAAAAATGAAGGTGTATATGTAAGAGATACAAGAACTGGTTAAGTAAGAACAGTCTTTGGAGAATCATATATGTTAAAATCTCATGAAGAATTATGGGCTATGGAATTACCTAACAATGTTGAATTATTGTTATCACCATAATATTTCCACACTGGAGGTAAAAGAGATAAATGGAAGGTTGTTAGTTATAGAGCTCCATTCAATACAGCTGTTTAAGTTTATGATTACAAAACCAAAAAAACAAGAATTGTATTTGGTCCAGCTTTAGTATGTTTAGAACCTGATGAAGTCTTTACTTAATTATCATTATCTGGTAAAACACCTAAAACTCCAGGAGTTGTAAATACATTACATGTTATGATGGGTCCAGAATTCTCTACTGATGAAATTACAGTAGAAACATCAGATCATGCTGTCTTAAAATTACTTTTGGCTTATAATTGGAAATTCAAAGTTGATGAAAATAATATTGAATCAGCTTCTAAAATCTTTGCAGTTAAAGATTTTATAGGAGATCTCTGCAATCAAATGGCTTCTAAAGTTAGAGCTGCAGTTGCTTCTGTTGTTTTTGATAAATTCCATAAGACTTCTGCCAAACTCATCAGAACTGCTATCTTTGGTGTTGATGATCATGGTAAAATTAGAAAAGAATATCTCATGATTAAAAATAATCTTGTTATTACTAATGTTGATATCAAAACTGTTGAACCTGTTGATAATCAAACAAGATAAAGTCTTTAAAGATCAGTATCTTTAGCTATTGAAATTTCAACTAAAAAATAAGAATAAGCTGCTTAACATGTCGCAGAATAATAAGAATAATAAGCTCAAGGTGAATTAGATTAATTAAGAATTGAAGATGATCTCAAAGCTGAAGCTGCTAAATAAAAATTACTTGAAATGGAAAACAAATCTTAAGAAGTTACATAATAAGGATCTGCCATTGCTGAAGCTGAAGCCATTGCTAAAGCTGAATAAATTAAAGCTTAAAAAGAATATGAGCTAGCTTAATTGAGAGCCAGAGCTAGTAAAATTGAAAAAGAAGCTGCCTTAAAACACAAACAAAAAGAATAAGACCAAACTATTAAATATGAATAAGAAAAAGCTGAACTTGAAATTAGAAGAGCTAAAGAACTAGCTTTGATTGAATCAAATAAGTTTGAGTAACTTATTGAAGCTTTAGGATAAGATACACTTATTGCCATGGCAAATGCTGGACCAGAAATGTAAGCCGAGTTGCTTAAGGGATTGGGATTATAAGGATACATCTTTACTGATGGAAATAATCCTATCAACTTATTCAACGGAGCTTAATAATTGATTGGAGGAGCAATGCCATAATGATATTATACATCAATCATTAAGTCATCATCAATTTTAAAATGACATTTCTCGACCAAATTTCATGAGTGGTTCCTCAAAAGAAGGATCCTACTTTTATTATGGTAATTGTTGAATCTGGGATTACTATTGTTTTACTTCTTAGGTCTCATTTAACAATTGCTTTTTTTTGTTTATCTATTTCTCAATGTTTTGTTGAGCCAAAAATTGATCAAATGGCTTATCGCTATACATTTCTTAAACCATATTTGGAATCACATCTATGTATTTTATCTAGTCCAAATTAATTTCTTACTTTCTAATCTTAATTAGTTATCTTGTTGTATTGGATAATCTAAAGAACTGCTTCATTCTATAAAAATTCAAGAAATAATTCTTTTATTTTTTTCTTCTACTTCTATTATTCATTATTATCATTTTTGTCTATCTAAAAACACCTTTATTATAATTAAATTCTTACTTATGAAAATCCCCTAATTCATATCTTCCCTATTTTGATTTTTTATTCGACTTTAATTGATGTAAAAATGAACTTACATCATCTTCTTTTAAAATTTTTGCCCATTTCTTAAATCTCCCCATAAAAAAATGAGGAATACGCCTTTATTAAATTCATATAATAATTACCTATAAAAATCCTACGTTTCCTTCACCTCATTTGGTTATTAAGATTATTATTCTTGTGGCTATTGAGACATTTGAGCTCCACTTTTATCTTCTGAGCCAGAAGATGATCCATCATCCTCTTATAACTCAATCTAAGGGTTTGATTCTTGAGCCATTCCTTAAGTCATTTCAACTTGGCCATGGATAGTATCATTTAATTCTGTTAAAAATTGTTATGCTTATTAAAGTTAATTGATGAAAGTATCGTCGACTTCTAATAGGTATTTTCCTTTCCCTTTCTAAATCAGTTTCATTTTCTTTAACATATTAGGAGCAGCTGCTTGCTTCTTGTTTTAGGCTCTTGTTTATTTACATACTATATAAGAATAATTTCTAACCTTTTTTATTACTAAAGTTGCTCATTTTTTAATATTAATTATACAATTATTCCATATAATTTAAGATATGAACTCTATTTTATTTTAATATCATATTTTTGCATAGTATTATATTTTATAATTAGAATAAACATACAAAATAAATAAACTAAATAACTATTATTTATTTATAATAAAATTGAATCTCTTTACTTATTAAGATACTACAACTAATGCTATAAAATGATTTTTATAAGATAAACTAATACAAAAAGTTTTAAATTATCATCCAATTTAAAAAATAAATATTATTTAATAATTTTTATTTATTTGTATAAAAAAATTATACAAAAATCAATTCTTATTAGAAAAGATATATTTTTTTTTCTAATTCCCATTTTTCTACTTCTTTTAAGTATCAAACCATGGATTGGGCGATTTAATGCTGTTAAATATTATATGTTGAATAAGTGATATTTGATTGAATGAATGTTAAAATAATGTAATCACATAATAAATCTGGAATCTTGAATTCTTCTGTTTCGAAAAAACTTCACATTCAATAACCGTAAATAATGATATAAAGATGAGTTCATTTAACTTTGTTGAATAGAAATAGTTTATTTGTATTTTTTCTTGGTTAGTTGTTTATTTGTTAAAATAAAATGATTAAGAGGATGTTGATAGGAAATATATATTGTAAGTGAAAGAAAAGAAGAGAAATTAATTAAAAACTAATTAATTGATTAATTCTTGAATAACTAATCATTTCTTAGCTTATTTCTTATTGACCTTCTTACTGTTTTTCTTGGTTGTAGATTTTTTAGAACCAGCTTTCTTTGGTTTTGCAACAGTTTTCTTGACTTATTTTTTTGGTGTAGTAGCAACAACTGGTGTTGTGGTAGTTGGTGCAGTTGGAGTTGTTGTAACTGGGGCTGGTGTTGGATTTGGATCCGCAGGTTTCTTAACAACTTTCTTGACTTTCTTTGTAGCTTCTACAATAAATTTAATATTTGACTTGGTGTTGTTGTCTTTTTTGTTCCTTTAGTTACTTCTTTTGCCATCTTAATTATATGTTCTTATTTTTATTATTATTTTTTTATCTCATAAGCTTTAAATTCGAATTATAAAAATTTCGTTAATTTCATTGGTTTATTTGATAACATTTTGGATAATGATATTGTTTAACTTTAATTGCCAAATAGGTAATTGTGTACATCCATTTCCTCATAAGATATTTTAAACATCAAATAATTTCAAAATTCTGCCTACTAGAGCTCATCAAAATATGAATTATTTCTATCAATTTAACACTTATTGCAGAGAATTCAACTATAAAAACACTTTTCTATGCCTATTAAATGATAATCTTGTGAAATTTTTAGGTTTAAAACCATAAATCAAATTTGAAGCAGAATTTTTAAAAAAGGAATTTTTACAAAAAAAGTAATAATAATTTTTTTTTTATTTTTTTTTCGATTTTTAATAATTTAATAATTTTAATAAAATGGTATATATCAACCTATTTTGGTACTTCTTCTAGTAATCAAGAATCTCTCTATCTCCTCAGCTAACTGAGTACCACCACATTCCATTACAGCATTAATCACATCTGCCATATTTTATTTTCCTCCAAGGACAGCTTTTTCTAATTATAGAATTTCATGTTCAAGAGATTGTTGGCGCTATTCACTAAGTACAACAATTTTCTGTCAATTATTATATATTATGTGGTTACCTTGCTTATTTCAACTTCATCTTGTAAACTATCAAGTTTAACTTAATCTTTTTTATTTTGGATGACTAATTTTTATTTAATTTAAAAATATTACTTAAACTTTGATTCTCCTATTTTAAAGTAGCAATTTAAATTGTATACTCATTTAATAATTTACCTGAATCTATATTCTAAATATCAGGTTATTACAGAATTACATTATTCTATGTGATTAATCTTTCTATTTCTTGAGTTCTATTTTATATATAATTTATAATGTACTTAGATTTTAACTCAGTATTCTTTTCTTACAATGACTATTTCAATTTCTCATTCTCCTATTCCAATTACTAATTTACATTTTTTATATGATCACTCTAATCCTAAGAACGTCTACCTTTTTCATATAATTCTTTTTCTAAATATGCTATTTTTATCTTGTTTTATTTAATTTCTTCATTTTTACTATCTACTTCAATTTATTTTGTTTTTATTAAATTTTTCATTTATTCCAATATTTCTTAATTGTTATTGTTACCAGATAATTAGGAAGCATTTCTAAAACTATCATTCTAAATCAATTAAATAGCTTATTAGGCTCTTTATAATTCTTTCTCTAAATTATCTAATTCTCTATTTTTATTATCAATTTCTCTTCTTTAACTTTCTAAATCTTGTGATTTATTTTCTAATTCTTTCTTATATTATTCTGCTTCTCTTTTAATTTAAACATTTTCTCTTTTGGTTACATCCAAATCTTTTTTCCATAATTCAGCCTCTTTTTTATAGAATTCAATTTCTTTAGCTTTTTAATCCAATTCTCTTTTTAAATGATCTGTCTCTTTATTAATTAATAAAGAATGGCTTGAACTATTATTAAAACTTTTAACTTAAATCCTTTAATACTCATTTCTTAGATTACTATAAGTTTCTGATAATAAATTAAAAGCAGCTTCACTTTTAATTTATTAATCTTTCAAACCTTAATTTTCAGTAGTTAATTTTGAAACTTAATTCTTTAATTAAGTATTTTCTTATTATAACTAAGTCAATTATTATTTGCATTGATTATTATCTATATCTACATCAAGTTATTTTGTAGACATTGTCAAACCTCCTTCCAATTAAGTTGGTCTTGTACCAATATTATCTTAATATTCTCCTTTTTTAGATTATGCTTTAGGTTTTGTTGATCCTTTAAGAATTTCACTTTATTCAATGGGTGAAGTAATAGCTTGTATTTCATTTCTAGTTTTAGTTCTTGAATCATAACGATTAGGACTTTTAGATGGAGCTCTATTATTTGAATTATTTTGTAATTCTTTATTGATTTATTTAAAATCTAATTGATTGTTATTTTACAATTTTAGATTTTCAAATCCTCCAGTTGATTTTTATATCAATTATTTATTAATTGGTTTATAATCTTTTGGAGTTTGAAATCTACGAGGACTCATAATTCTTTGTTCAGGTCTACGAATTTCCTCAAATTTTTCATCCTCCATTTATCCTTTTTTAATTGGTTCCTTTAATTTCTTAACATATTATTCTTTAACAGATTCTTGATGATCTTTCCATTATGCATAGGTAGCATGTACAATTCGCTTTTCATCTACTTATTTTTTCTACTAACCAACAGGTTTCTAAGGAAGTGGAGTAGGTATGGGTTAGTCTCTCAAAGGACTTACTTATCGTAATTATTTAGATGATAATTAATCTATCTAATTCCATGCTAAACTAATTTAAACTTAAGCTTCTTAATCAAATTTATTCTATATAGTAATATTATCAATTATGAGTGGAAGATTGTTTCCAATATAAAATTCTAAATTAATTGTTGCTTCTCCAAAAATGGTTTGCCCATCATAAAAATAAAATTTCAACTATATTAATATGCAAATAATCGAATACATTGCTTTTCTCAACATATTAAACATTTAATTCAATTTTTTCCCAAATTTCTTAAATATCTTTGCATTTGCATCTTAATTTTGACTATAAGACTGAAGTAGAGAATGCTAAGAATGAATGTTTATAAATACCATCACTTAATTTAATAGAACAGGAATCAAATGTTGAGCCTATGAAAAATTGGATTGTCTGCACTTCTATATCAAGATGTAGCATTTTGAAATAAATATGTTATTTTATTTACTTAATAACTTATCAAAATAAAATTATAGTGAAAATTATTGATATAAAAATATTGAGTACATCTTCAATAGTCTATTAGAATTGATATTACAAAAAAAATATTAATATATGCCATTTAATTTTCATAAATTAAAACAATTCTTCATGTTTACAAAGCCTGAAAATCTTAACGATGGTAGCTTGATACTTAATCCAAAAGCAGCACATAAATATTCTTTGATTTGGGTAAGAGAAATAATTGAATGAACTAGATGCATGGTTTAGGAGATACTGCATTTGGATTTATGGATCTCTTTGAATAATTACCGATAGTAAAAGCAGAAACAAAAGTATTATTACTTTAAGCTCCATAAAGAGCAGTAACTATTAATATGGGAATGAAATGCACAAGTTGGTTTGATATTAAAGTACTTAAAACAGATTCTAATGTTGAACACTTTAGCAATAATTTCAAAAGCGTAATCAATAATTATATTACAAGACAGTTTCAATGGAAGAAATAGAAGATTCTAGAAAAATCATCACAAACTATTTAGATTAAGAAATTAAATTAGTTTAATCAAAAAATGTATTTATAGGAGGATTTTCTCAAGGATGTTGTATGGCTTTAGAAACTGGATTAAGTTATTCTTAAAGGTTAGGAGGTATAGTTGGTTTGAGTGGTTATTTATTTCCAACTACTTAAATGAATGATATATAAAAAGAAACTCCAATTCTCTTAGTTCATGGTTCATAAGATCAAATGATCCCATGTGTATTATCTAAGAAAAGTTATGAACGATTAGATAATACAAAGAGATAATTATTTGATCATAAAGTAATTCCTCAAATGGGTCATGAAGTTCCTATGCCAGTTATAAAATTGATGGCAGAATTCTTTTAGAAAACTTAACAATGAAAAGAATATTAATTTAGAAAAAATAATAAATATTATAAAAATGCAAATTTATAAATTGTTCTGATCATTTTAAAGCTTGATTATATCTTGTTTTCTACATCTTTCCAATTAACGATTTTCCAAAAATTTGCTAAGAAATTAGGTCTCGCATCCTTATATCCTACCAATAAGCATATCCCCATATATCAATTGCTTAATGATATATCTATTTTTAATTAATTACTTAAGATTGGTGTAAGACCATAATTTTATGGAATTTCTCAATTGCGAAGTTCTAAATATCTTAATTTTTTTGATTATTGATCAATTCCTAAGAATCCCCATCCACTGCTGTTCTAGTATTGAAGAAGGTCTTGAAATTTTCAATATTTCCCCAATTTTTATTGATTTCTTATACGAGAGCACTATTTACATCAGGTAATTATCCACCCCCATTTTTAATTGAAGTTCTTCGTTATAAGTTTAATATTTTTACAAGTTTTCCCAAAACAAACTATGATTTAAATAACCTCCCAATTTGAATTTAATAAAACCTTAAAGATTGGCAATTCTATAAACATCATTTTTTATCAAAGCATCTTCCAATTATTCTTAAGCAGCATTAAGATTATTCATTAAAGATTAATGGTATTTGGAATGATGAAATTCAAGAAGTGTTGCACTCAAAACTGGTTTTAGATCACTATAACCATATTAAATGTTGGTAAAGTATGGGCTTTTAGTGCACAAAAGAAAAATTTAGAATTCTTAAAAATTTACATAGAATTTATTAATAGATATGATTTTTGTGTTTATAATTCATTGATTAAAATTCTCGTATTTCTTTAATATTTCATCAAACTCTACATAATTAAATTCAATCCCCTAGTAAGCAAATCTAATAAATAATATCAATTTAACAAAACCTTTTGCAAATAACTCTAAATTAATCATCAGTTAACGGTAATTTATGAAAATCCATTATAGATCTGAATCTAGTAAAAGTAATTTTCCCTGATTTAGTTTTATCCTATACATAATATCTAATTTAATACTTTATCTTGAAAGTGAGGTTTAAGTAGAATTCTATGTTTTTTAACAACTTCTCCTAATCTTAACATAATAGCATGTAAAGCTTCTTCTTCTTCTGTAGTTAAAGCATCTCTTGGATCTAAGAAAGTTGGAATAACATGAACAGGAGGTTTCATTAATGGATCTTTATCTAATCCCTATATTTTAATAGTAAATATTAATAATTACTGATTTAGTAAATACAATTTCAACATCTTCAATAAATTTTGCATAATTAACTCTGATTGGATCTTCAGGTACTACATACATAGTTTCTAATAAATCTAGACTTTCTTAATCTAAATCTATCTTCATTTAACTCAACACTCCTCTAAATTTATTAGTAGGCATTAAGCCTTTTCTTAAAGGATCGAAATCTTTAAAATAATCTCCTAATCTTAATCTTTTAATTTTAACAGCAACTTTAATTTATTCTAGTAATACAGATGGTTAAAGCTAAATAATAATTAGATAATTTATATACTTTTTCTTTCTCTTTAGGTTTTACACCAACATAAGCTTAAGACGCTCCAGATTCTGTTTGTATTTCTAATGGAGGTTGAGTATCATTTATAAATTGAACATATCTAATATCTCCATCATCTTCAGCAGCATAAATCTTAACAACAGCTTAGAATTCTTCATCAGTTAAAATGAAATTTACAGTAGCCAAAGTTTGTCTAAATTATTTGGGTGATACTTTATTTCTACCCAATTTATCCCAATCCTAAAAAAATTATTTAATATCCAATCTAGTAGCTTTACAAAAATATTAAAATTTCTTTTAGACAACTTCAGCTACTTATCTATCTCTTTCTGTAATTGATACTCTACCATAATTATATTACGTTGACATCATAGGTACTTCTTCTGATGGACTTACTTTCTCTAAATTCTTAGTTGTGAATACTTAATCAACCTAATCAGTAAAATCTTTCCAATATACAAAGTTAGCTTTATCTTTGCATCCAAAGTTTTATAGAATTAATTGAAATTCTGCATCAGACAATAAAATTTTAGCCATACTTAATCCTTTTCTTAATTAAGTCACTGTTATTGTTCCACTTCTCAATTTATCAAAATCTCTCAAAAATTCAGCTATTCTTTGTCTTTATTCTTTAATAATTCTTCTTAATTTAGCCATAAGATCTTCAAAATCATTTGGTTGATCATTTCTAATAAATGCTTAACTAACATTATCTGATTTAACATAATTTTTAAATGCATCAGCATGAGATTTACTTATAGCTACACCTTCATCTGATTAATCAACTATTCTACAGAAATCATAGTAATTCACTTCATTCAAATTTGCTTTATCGACAAATCTCTTTAATAATAAGTTCAATGAAACAGGATCAGGAAACAGATTAAATTAATTAAGTATTCTTAAGAATTGATTGGTTGTTATATAACCCTGTTTGGTTTTATCAAAATCTTCAAAGACAGGTTTTAAAAGAACTCTTTTGTTTTGAATTGCTTATTTGTATTTCATTAATAATTCATCTAATTAAATAGCTTCTTGTTCAGTCATTTAAAGATATCTTCTTCTAGCTGGGAGAGTAGTAGTATCATCAATTTGTGGAACTTAAGCTTAAGGTGATTTATCGATTCCTTTAATTGTAAAGATCTTATCAACATCTTCACAAAATTGATTATAATCTACTTATCCATTAGGAATCTTGTCTATTTTATAATGATTTAATAGTATAGATATTTCTTTTTCAGTAACAGGAATATTTTGTAAATGTAATATTCTAGCAAACTATAATTAATAATACAAAATTACTTGAGATTCAGTAATTAATCCCTTTCTTAAAGGATCAAAATCTTTGTAAAATTCTCTAATTCTGATTCTCTTCATGACAACATCTCCTTAAATCTTTTTTAATACTTATTCTAAAGTATTAATATTATCAGTTAATTTTTTAGATGTAAACAAAGTAGATATTAAATCCAATCCTTCTTTATCTTCTATAAAGTCATCATCAGGATGAACCTAGATACTTAAAAATCATTACTTCTTTTGGATTATGTTTGATTCCAGTGATTACTCCACTTAACATTTCTTATACATTATCTACATCATCACAGAATTTAACATAATTAACTTCTTTAGGATTTCCATTATCAATATATTATCTAATAAGTAATTATAAATATTGATCTTTTGGTAATAAGCCTAATTAATTCAAAACTCTAGAAAATTGATCTATCGTTATATGTGAACAAGCAGTTCTATCAAAATCTTAGAATGGTTATTTTAAAAATATTCTTTTTGTTGCTATTTTTCTCTTAATTGCTAACATTAATCTCATTACAGTTTCTTCCTCTTCTTTATTGAAAATCTATAATTTCAATATATAATTTCATACTTATGGAGCTTGAAAAACTTATGCCTTAGCTTCATTATTCAAGAATTATTCTTCAAGCTTATTACAAAATGTTGTATATTAAACTAAACCATCATTTAGTTTATATCTTCTGATGATTTCTTCAATTTCATCACGAGTGAAATGAAAATTTATCATTGACAATGCTGAACGAAACTTTTCATAATGCATCATTAATACCTTATCTTCTGTTACCCAACCTTTTCTTAGGCGATCAAAATCCGTAAAGAATTCTCTTACTCTTATTTACTTTTTATACACTTCTTATTGTAATCTTGTCTCTATATCTTATTGTACATAAGTTCCAACTATATCTATTAATGAAAACATTTTACTTATTGATTATCCTGCAGATACTAATGCTGTAGCCATCTTTCAGTTATCTTTTTTACTATTTATTATATTTTATTTATTGTCTATTTCATGAAAAACAAATACAATAAATTGTCTCCTATTGATCAATCCAAATCATTTAAACCTGAACTACTTAATGAAGAATCTCTCAAAATGAATATCTTAAAATAAAAAATTATTCACGAACGATCATCCCTTCTATAAAGAGATGGAGAACTAAGAAAAGTTTCACAAGAACTCCATAACAGAATCTTAAATTAAAGACTTAATTTCAATAAACCTCTTAAATTTGCCTAATTTGTTATTCATTAACCATAAAATGAATCTAAAAAAGACTCTTATCCTTCTCTTAATATTGTTAAAAAAGAATAACAATTACAATTAGAATTATCAAAAAGAGATATTAGTTAATTTGCTAGCTATGAATAAGAATAAGATAAATCTCAATTATTTGATAAATAACCTATTAATAAGAAAAAATTAAAAATGAAATATCGAGACATTGTAAAATCAATTCTCATTAAATCTATTGCTTAATCATTCCATGATGATTCAATTAATGTCATCAATTATCATCCAAAACCTAAATCTATATCCATCAATGAATAAACTATTTTACCCACTCATAATTGTTCTATTAAACCTATTGATTAATATATTCTTAACAAATTAGAAAATATTGCACAAAACTCACTTGATAATAGTTATATGCCTCCTCTTACTCAAAATGAAATCAAAACATCTACTCAAAAGAACTCTATACTAAAATTAATTCCTATTACTACTGCTACAACTGAAACTTCAAAAATTAAAAGAGGCAGATAATAAGATGATTTTTCTAATACTAAATTAATCCAAGAATTCAAAAATGAAAGTTGTGTTAAAAACTATGAAATTACAAGAAAAGCTTAAGAAAGAATTACTTTGTATTAAAAAATTCTTAAACTCTAAAATGAATCAAGATCATAGAGTCAAAGTTCTTTTATCAAAAAAAAGAATATAAATCCTATTCAAAATAAGTTTAATAATTGACTGATGTTTTTCATAATAATTTTACAAATGCTTTTATAGAATTTTAGAGGGAGTGTGAATTTTATAATCTATTCACTTATATTGAATTCATTTCTTTTTTTTTATGAAGGTGAACTTCTTCTTCCATTCCTCTGAAAGCTTAGGAATCATTTTTATTTCTTGATTAACTTCAGATGTATATTTCACAATTCTTTCTTCAAAATTTTTAATTTCCTCATTTAATTAATTTTAAGACTTGCTCTCTTTAGATTACTTTTAAGATGTTTTCCTTTCTAATTAATTTGGATTCTAAATCTCTTGCAATTATTAATATTCATTAATTTGTTTAGTTTAGACATTCTACTTTTATATCTTTTTACAATCTTGTTAATGAGTAAAATCAATAAATTTTGATGAATAATTATTATCTATAATGTTGTTGTTTCTAATTTATACAAATTGTTCAATTTACTCACAATTAAGGTCTTTCTTCCAATATTTATGATTTATTACTTCTAATATATAATTCTAATTTGAATCCTTCATGAAATCATTTTATTATTGTTTCTAATTATCTCCAACTAAAATGACTTTGTAAAGTACCTTCACTAGAAAGTGTTTTAGGAATATCAGCTACCACTATCAATTTAAATAATTGTACAATTATTATGCTCTTAAATTGTTGGCATAATCTTTTACTTCTCTTTTTAGTTTTGTCTCTTCGTTGACATAAATTAACTTATTTTTGATAATTAATTATTGATAAAAATCAAATATATTAACCATTTTCATTCTATTTAATATCTTCTAATTATTACAATTCAATTAATTTTATTGTAATCAATCAAAAAAGAGATTCTTTCTTAATTAGTAGAATCATTCTTATTGTTATTTTATAAATTGCATTATTATTATTCAATAATTTTTAAAATAAATTAATTTATATATGATTACTAATCGATCATAAAAAAAACTACTAAACTACAGTCCACTCCCAATTGTAAAATCAGAATCCCTTTTTAAAGACATATCTCGATTAGATGAATAAATATCTTTTTTCAACTCTTACATCCAAAAATATAAAACAGATAAAAAAAAAAGAAAAGTTCCATTTTAATGTTCTACTCCATTAAGAATTCAAGCTATTAAACTTAATCTTAGTTTTAACAAAACAACTTCAAATAAATCACCATTAAGTAGGAAATTAATTACAAATGAATAATCTCATTTAATTACTGGAAAAAAGACAAAATAAAATGATGAATTGTATAACCGAACTAAAAATTCAATTTCGAGATGGGAAGAACGATTAGATTAAAATGAATCCTTTTTTTTATACCATATTTGATACTTTTCAAAACTTCATATCATATTTTTTTTATAACATTATATCAATTTTCAGTTTATTTTAATCACATAATTTTTTTTGTTATTACATATAATATTTAATTTATCTTAAACCAACTATGAGTTGAAGCACTTTCATTTTTATTATACAAATATTTATCATGAAAAAATAAATTAATCATTTAACTTTTTTTATCTTAATTTTCGCAGACAATGGCTTATTTTTTATCATTATAAATCTTTTACTTTATTTATTCTTTAAATTCATTTACAATTTGAGCTATCTTCCCCTTAAAACAAAATCTTGATATTGCTTTTAACTTATTGATTATATGAGAAGTCATTATTAATATATAGAAATCAATTACTACACTATTTAAACATAAATTTGTTCTATGACAATAAAATTTGAGCTTCTTTCCAAAAAAAGTTCTACTCACCTAAGACTCATTTTTGTATATTGCATATAATTATTGATAATTATTCTAATTGTTTCTTATCCTCATTATAAACAAAAAAGCAGGATCTATATTATTAATATTTTATTTCAATCCTTCAGATTAATTTGACATTTTTTAAAAATTTTCAATAATAGTTATCCTTTTAATGTTAAATTTAATATGATTCTTTTTAAATATATATCACTAAACTTCCCAATTTCATATGATTATTTAGATATTTTATCCTCTTTGTTTTATTAAATTTTTTATAGCTTCCTAAACTATAGACTATTTTTTTAAAACTAAATCATTAATATGACTAATATAAAAAAAAATTAATTAATATTTTTCATGTAAAATTTTAAATCAATTTTTTTAGTTGAAATATTTATTTGCCAAATCTTAAAGGGATAAGTTTAAATTCTATTCTACAAAGGCTTATGATTCAGAATAACTAATTCTCGTCAATTCTGATAGTTTTTAAATCTTCTATAATTTCTCATCATTTATTGTTGCTAATTTATTTTTATTTTTTACTATTAAATTAAGCATCTTTTTAAGTAATTGTTGATTATCTTTAATTTTTTACATCTTAGTTTTTCACAAATAAACAAAAGCACACTTTTTAACCAAAAAATTCTGGTTTGTTATTTTCAATATGTGCTAACTAAATTAATGTATAAAAATAATTACTCTGAATTCATTATTAATATTATTGATTTACTGGTTTATTGGTTGGAATATGCAAGAAAATAATCCAGTTTCTTAAGGTTTGACATCATTTTATAACTAAAATTATTTATTTATTTAATATACATCTATCTTAAGATCTTTAAAATTTCCAGCTATACTAATTAATTTTACCATTCCTCTTTTCCAAGTAACATTTCCATCATTTTTTAAATGTATTTCCCATTTATAAGGTTTTCCAAACTCCATATGAATTTAATTGTTCTATTTATATAAGACTTGCATTTTATAAACAGGGGTTTTAGGTTGCTCTTACTAAATTTACTGTTTCTTATTGTTATTATTTTAAATAATTCCATGAAACACTAATCGTTCATCTACTTGTTCAATAACAAATTTTTTGAATTCTTCATTATTACAATCGATATCTTGTAATGAAAGCTTATTAATTTGTTACATAATTCTTAATTTAATTTAAAATTAATTACTCTTTTGTTAATCCATCAACAGCATTACTTTATTAAGGTTAATCATTAATGTTGTTCTTGATCTCTTATTTCTGTTGTTATGATTAAACTATTTCTTTCTTTTATAAAATATCGTCAAATTAATTCAATTATAAGTTTGACTTTGCAACTACACTTTAATTAAGTATATTAATATCATCTGTTGTCAATTCAGGATTATTTAGATCTTTAACAACAAACTTGATAGATTACCATCCTAAATAAACATATAAGTCCTTTATTCTTTAAAAATACTATTCATCCTAAATTTAATAAGGGTTTTGGGCTAATAATGAATTTAAAAATTTTACTTTAATCTAAAGTTACGTATAAAGTAAATCCATCCTTTAGTTCGTTTTAGTAAATACTCGATATAGCAGCTTTTATTTCAGCTAATGTCTAATACTTTGGGGAAATCTTATGAGTCTTTAAGTTGTATACAATCTTTATATTCATTAATTATTATTATTGAATTTTAGATTTATGTTTTTATATACTTAGAATCACGATTATGTAGAATAAAACATAAAAATATTTCTTTTATAATTTAATATATAACTTCTCCTAAATACTACNTAACTAAATTAATGTATAAAAATAATTACTCTGAATTCATTATTAATATTATTGATTTACTGGTTTATTGGTTGGAATATGCAAGAAAATAATCCAGTTTCTTAAGGTTTGACATCATTTTATAACTAAAATTATTTATTTATTTAATATACATCTATCTTAAGATCTTTAAAATTTCCAGCTATACTAATTAATTTTACCATTCCTCTTTTCCAAGTAACATTTCCATCATTTTTTAAATGTATTTCCCATTTATAAGGTTTTCCAAACTCCATATGAATTTAATTGTTCTATTTATATAAGACTTGCATTTTATAAACAGGGGTTTTAGGTTGCTCTTACTAAATTTACTGTTTCTTATTGTTATTATTTTAAATAATTCCATGAAACACTAATCGTTCATCTACTTGTTCAATAACAAATTTTTTGAATTCTTCATTATTACAATCGATATCTTGTAATGAAAGCTTATTAATTTGTTACATAATTCTTAATTTAATTTAAAATTAATTACTCTTTTGTTAATCCATCAACAGCATTACTTTATTAAGGTTAATCATTAATGTTGTTCTTGATCTCTTATTTCTGTTGTTATGATTAAACTATTTCTTTCTTTTATAAAATATCGTCAAATTAATTCAATTATAAGTTTGACTTTGCAACTACACTTTAATTAAGTATATTAATATCATCTGTTGTCAATTCAGGATTATTTAGATCTTTAACAACAAACTTGATAGATTACCATCCTAAATAAACATATAAGTCCTTTATTCTTTAAAAATACTATTCATCCTAAATTTAATAAGGGTTTTGGGCTAATAATGAATTTAAAAATTTTACTTTAATCTAAAGTTACGTATAAAGTAAATCCATCCTTTAGTTCGTTTTAGTAAATACTCGATATAGCAGCTTTTATTTCAGCTAATGTCTAATACTTTGGGGAAATCTTATGAGTCTTTAAGTTGTATACAATCTTTATATTCATTAATTATTATTATTGAATTTTAGATTTATGTTTTTATATACTTAGAATCACGATTATGTAGAATAAAACATAAAAATATTTCTTTTATAATTTAATATATAACTTCTCCTAAATACTACATACAGTAATTTATTTTATGTTATATGGTTGTACCAAATATATATGATAAATAAATTATAATATAATATTTCTCAAATTTTAGATTATTTATGATATTAAATACAATATAAATTAATTCATAATATGAATTCGATTCATTTGAAAAAGTAAATATATATTTATTAGACTAGCTCTTTTGGACAATATTTAGATAATGAGCAATAACTATATTATAGAAGTTGACAATAATTTAATAACAGAATAAATAAAAATAGTAGAAATATAATTTATGGGGATTGTTTATATGAAATTAGCTATATTTTGATCACATTGAACACTTTTGAATTTTTGACTATCATAGATTTGTTTGAATTATAAGAATTGAGTCTGTTGAAAATAGTATACTAAAATATTATTGATTGGATAACAATTGATAAAAGTATTAAGCTTAAAATAGATGTAGTTAAGATAAATAGAGTTTTAGGAAGAAAGAACTAAGGATGATCAAGATTTATTTATTTAAATTAGATCTACATATCAATTTAGTTAGTGATAATTTGAATTGAAAACCAAATTATGGCATAGGTAAGTATTTTTGAATCAGCTTTTAAAAATATTGAGATAACTATATGATAAAATATCGAAAATCATCAATAATAAAATTCTGATTGTTATTTAATAATTATTAAAAATGATGAAAATATTTATTACTCTTGATTTGATTAAATTAAATGAACATTTGAAATTAGGTAAAGCAAAATGAGTAATCAAAAATAATGAATGTTTTTAATCTTTTTGATTAATAAAACTAAAAAAATTTTAGTATAAATTTTCAAATTAAATTCATAATAAGAATCATTATTTTAAAAAAAATATTTAATAGAAAATAATGGATATTGAAATGGAGGTTGAAGTCTTCGATTCTAATTTTAAAACTACCTTGACAATGGATGACAGTGTAAATATACGGGAACTCATTGAGTATATTCAGCAATAATATTAAGAGTAAAGTTATATATTACAATTTAGATTATTCCGTGGGGTGAATATTAATTAAATCTAAATTTTAATAGGAGGAACAAATTAAATTATTCAACCATCAGATAAAACTCTTAAAGATGTGTTAAACAATTAAAGAAGAGCAAAATTTATTTTGAAAAAAGGCACACCGTAATAGCAAGCAGTCAATGAGTTTCAAAACTCAAGCTAATAGATTAATAGATAATAACCAAATAATCAATTTATAGCAAACCAAATGACCGGTTATAATAATTAGAACCTTGTTAATTAAACATAATCAAGATAATAATAATATTAATATTAATAATAATAATAATAATACTAATAATAATAATAATAATAATAATAATAATAATAATAATAATAATAATAATACTAATAATACTAATAATAATAATAATAATTATAAAATTAATCGATATACATGCAATAAAATATGTACTATTATTTTTAAAGCTTAGTGATGTAAAAATCAAGGATTTATAGAATTAAATAACTTAAGTCTCACTAGATGATAGTCTTCAAATTAGAGAGTTAATTTAATTTATTTAAGAGCAAATTTAATAAAATCTATAGTAATTTAATTTTTAATTTAGGCAAATCTAAATTTACTTTGGGCAAGTTAATATATTGTAGGTGAATTAAAATATAACACTAAAACAATTAGGAATGAAGAATTAAACTTTATTGGAAATAAAGCCAAATAACTAAAGAGTTCCATAATAATTGTATATAATTATATTTAAATTAGTCCTGTTTAGATAGGAGAGTAGTAGATAATTGGTACAAGAACTTAGAATTAACCATAAACTTCTATTGATGATTCTCCACAACTTTAGAATTAAGTTGATAAAAAAATTTAGAGTAATTAATAACCATACGGACAATAATATCAATCAAATTAATTAAAAAATACTGTATAAATTTAATAAAATGGTCCTCAATAATAAATGGGGGTTGGAAAGTAAGTGACTGTAAACTTTGAGATATTGGATGGTAGCATAAAAAGGTAATTCTCAACAATAACAAATACAAACAATACTTTAGGAGAGATATTGGATGCGGTTTATCAATATCTAGGAATATCAAAGTAAAAATGATTTATATTTTTAGAGAAGTAGCTTCTGTTGATCTCTACATTAATAATACTCCATTTGGAGGAAATAAACTATTACAATCTTTGGAACTTCTTTAGATGACTTAAGATAATATGACATTATAAGTAAAATTAAGATGGATTGGTGGATGATGAATTAAGTTTTATTTTTATATAATATTTTCATTATAAACTAACAATAATTATAACATATATATATAGGAATGTCTTTGAAAGATTTTTAACTGCTATCTAAATTAGGTAAGAAATATATTATAGATCTAATTAGGTGAGGGAGCTTATTCATCAGTATATAAGGTTAAAAGATTAGAGGACTCTTAAGAATATGCTTTAAAGAAAGTAAAATTATAGAACTTGAACGATAAAGAAAAATAAAATGCTATGAATGAAGTTCGTATTTTGGCATCTGTCAAGCACCCAAATATTATCAGTTATAAAGAAGCTTTTATTGATATCCAAAGTAATTCATTATGGTAAAATACTATAATATTTTACTGTTAGTATTGTCATGGAATTTGCAGACGGTAGTGATTTGTACTAGAAAATTGTTAGCTAAAAGAAAAATGGAAAATAGATAGAGGAACAAATAATTTGGAATATTTTTATATAAATAGTGAGGGGATTGAAAGCATTACATGAATTAAAAATATTACACAGAGATTTAAAAGTAAAATATACAAAATAATAAAGAGTGCAAATGTATTTTTATATTAGAATGGGGATGTAAAATTGGGAGATATGAATGTTTCTAAAGTTGCAAAAAAAGGATTGTTGTACACATAAACAGGAACACCATTTTATGCAAGTCCTGAAGTGTGGAAAGATTAACCATATGATTAGAAATCAGATATATGGAGTTTAGGTTGTGTAGTATATGAGATGGCAGCATTAAAGCCGCCATTTTAAGCAGAAGATATGGAAGGATTATATAAGAAAGTTATAAGAGGATATTATCCAAGAATCTCATAAAATTATTCATAAGATCTTAGCAATGCTATAAGATCTATGTTATAAGTATAACCACATTTGCGACCAAATTGTGAGAAATTATTATAATTTCCATCTTTATTAAAAAGATAGGATGAATTACCAAAATAAGAATAGACAGATAATGAACCTAATACATTATTATCTACAATTAAGTTTCCAAAGAATTATCATTATTTTACATCAATGCTTCCTAAACCTTGTTATGAATGTATTAATAGAAAATAAATTAAATCATTACATTCTTAATAAGCTAGTCCAAATCCAAGATCATTAATGAGTGTGAATGGAAGTTATGAAGATGTAAGTAGTTAAAAGTCTATTGATAAAAAGGATCATATAAAAAATAATCGTAAAGCATAACCAGATGTATTATTAATTTTAGAATAATATAATAAGGTATGTAATTATAAATTGATAGATGATAAGTAAATAAGAAAACCAATAATGAAAGTTAGACCTAATAGACATTAAAGTTAAGAAGAAGTGAGTCTTTTGGAAGTTATAACACAACATTAATCTAAAATCTCTTTAGAGAATAATAGATTACCAATTTTAGATGAAATATCACCAAATAAGAGAAAGATTAGACCAAATAAACATAGAAATTAAAGTTTACCTAATGCAAATTTACTCCCACTAATATAAGCAGGTGTATTAAAATGAATTATTATAATTAATTATTATAATTAATTATTTTACCATGATTCATAATCAGAATAGAAATCCAATATCAGATCCCTATGGTCTTGAAGATTAACTTGCTAGAGAATTATAGAAAAGAAAAGTAGAAGAAGAAAAAAGAAGAAGAGAAATTGAAAGAATTTGTGCTGAAAGTGAAGAAATCAAATTGTTAAAATAAAAAGTACAAACAGCATATGTTACAAAAGAGAGAACACAATAATTAGCAGAATAACAATTAAGAAGAATATAAGACTTGGTATATTTAGACAGTTATATTTTAATTAATAGAAATAAGAAAGTGAAATAGAAACAGCTATTCTTGAAAAATTAAAAAGAGAATAAGAAGAGGAAAGAGCCAAAGAAAAATACCGATTGAACTAAAGGTTAGAAGGAAAATATGTAATATTAATTATCATATCAATTTTTAGACTTTATAAAAGTAAATGAAAGAACATGAATAATTAAGAGAAGAAGCAAAAGAGCAATATCTTTATGAAAAAGATTAAGTGAATAGAGTTATAAATTAATTAATGTAAGAGGATAGAAAATTTTTGGAAGATTCAGCAAGAAAAAAGAAAATAGCATTTTCTGATATGTAAGTAGCATTAAGAGAAAAAGCAGAACTTATATAAAGATTGAAATAGAAAGAAAGAGATGAAAATTAGAAATATTTAGATTTCATTAAAGAAAAAGATAGATAGGCAAATGAAATAAAAATTAAAAAATTGGAAGAAAATGCAGCAAAGTATAATTTTAGATATATTTTAGAGATAAAATATTCTAAAAATTGAAAGAAGAGGAGGAGAGAAGGAGATAAGAAGCAGAATTATTAACAGAATTAAGATTCTAACTTTATTAAGAATAATACGATGCTTAATAAAGATAAAAAGATATTGATGAAGCAAATAAAAGAGAATTTTAAAAGAGAGAAATGTAATAGGCAGAATAGGAAGCAAGAATTAGAAAATAAAGATAGAGAGAAGAAGAATAATAATTAGAAAGAGATTTTAGAGATTAAATGATGAAGAAATTCGCTGAAGATGATAAACTAGAATAATTAGGATAATAAAAAAGAAGAATGAAAGAAATGGAACATAAAAAAGAAGTAGAAAGATTATGGTAATAAAGATTACACTTATTTTAAATGGAAAAATAGAAAGAAATGGAATAATTAGAAAGATAAAGAAGAGAAGAATAATATAAATAATAAGTAATAGAAGAAGAAAAGAATCGAATATTATAAGAACATTTATAGTAAGTCGGAGAATTTATTCCTAAAGGTTTATTATTAAAATAGGGAGATACACAATATATTAAACAGTCATAGCCAAATGGAAGTTATTAATCTGGATTTAGATTATGATAAAATAAATTTCATCTAATATTAAATTCCTATATTCTAAATACTAAAATCAATTTAATTAATATTATACTTTCTTAAATTGGCTTGTGTTGGTTGTACTCCTAATTAATTGTATATCTTGTTTGACTGAATATTACATGTTTATAATTTATATATTTATATACATAATGTCATATATAATACAGTCAATTTCATTTTAAACTAATTGCTCAATTTGTACTTCTCGCATTCATAATTACTATTTAACTATTTCTAATTTTTTGCAATTATGTTTATTTGAGTTGCAAATACACATCTTGTTTAAATTATCTTTAAACTGTTATAAGTAATTATTATTTATGTAATTATTCATGCTGTCATTTAAACTTTATCGTTTTATATTTTTATTATATATGGATACTTCTAGACATTATATTTATTTTTATATTTTGTTATAGATACATTATTTTTCAGTTATATTTGAACAAAAAATTTAGCCAATTCTATCAAATAAAACAACAATTTCAATATTAAAATTAATTAATGATTCACTGTAAAATATTATGGTCATTTGATAAGTGATAAGATGGATCTAAATTAATATATTACTTTTATTTTTGAATATTAAAAGTGAAGAAAACTTAAAATATTTGATTAAATTAGAATTGAACTTTAATATTTCTAATTCTAAAGCTAATTTTCTTTTTCATAAATAATAAAAATACAAGTATTTTACTTATTGAATGTTAAAATTAAATTATTAATTTAATGGCAATCTCAGTAAATAGCACAAACTTCTTTCAATGAGAGGAGAAATCTATACTTGTAATAAATCTAGACACTGTTTAAAGATAGATAAAAAAAGTATCTACATTAAAAGAATAATTCCAATTAATTCATTAAAACATAATATTTAAAAATAAAAGTCTTATATAAATAATATTAATAATAATCATATATTTTGTTAGAATAATAATTCTTTACTACACTTTTTTTTGACTGCTAATTTCATTAAAAAAGTAATTTATAAAATTCAAAAAATAAATTAAATTTTTCTTTTTATAGAAGCATTGCTTAATTTCTATAAATTATTAAATACAATTTATAGGTTAATAGAAAAAAATTTCTAGGATAAATAAAAGAAATATTTTTAAAAAATCAAATTTTATAGAATACATTAATCTTGTTTTATGTCGATTTCTATTGTAATTTCTGAAATTACATTTTTTGAGTGATATTCAATTATATAATTACCTAATATTCTAAGTTTATGTTTCTGAAAATTGGCATTAGATGATCTGAACAATCAATTACATTATATAAAATATAAAATAATAAATAATCCTTGTTATTAAGTGTGCTAAGATACAAATTAAGCTGAGACAACATAATATTTTGTACCTTGTGCGTTACTTTTGTAAATTGTTACTCATATGGATGCCTGTCATCAATTAATTTTTATTCTGTTTCTCTAATTTTTTTAAAATGCGAATAACTAATAAAAAATATTTGATTTGCCATCATTGAATAAATAAGGTACTATTAAATAATAAATGTAATACAAATTATTTTAATCTGTTTTAAAAACATGTATTTCTTGTGATTCGGGATAGGGTAAATTGGTAGTAAATTATAAATGTAAATATAAGAATTTTTACTACATTTATGGTAAAGATTATGAGTATGAAAAAAGAAGTAATAGAAAGTGGATACTCATTATTGTAAAATTAATTTAAATTACTTTTGTATTAATACTATCATGAAATTAAATGTGGTGACTCTAAAAATTTAGGATTCAAAATAATTTTATGATGATAATAATAATTTTATTTAAGGAGATGGATGTAATAACAAATTTTTGATTGAAACTATTTTAAATGTTAAAATAGTGCTTTTACAATCCCCAAACAATATCTATAATATTATCTAAGAGACCAATTAATGATTTATTAACAGATTTAAATTTATATGATAAAATTTTTTTAATTCTCTTAATATTATTAGTTGACATTATAATTAATTCATAAATGAAGAATTAATTATTTTAAAATTTGTTGTTTCTTTCTGATTGAAAATTTATAACTTATAAGTTAACTTTTTTCTATTTTAAGTGAAAATTATGAACTTTCATTGAGATCTCTTTTTTAAAATAAAAGAAAATTTATATTAATCAATAATTATAAAAAAGCAATTTGCAATATTATTAATGAAGAAAATAATAAAATCAGTTTTATAATTCTGTTGATAGATCTATTTGGAAATATTATTATTTGGTTAAAGATAATAGAGTATTATCAANTATTCAATTATATAATTACCTAATATTCTAAGTTTATGTTTCTGAAAATTGGCATTAGATGATCTGAACAATCAATTACATTATATAAAATATAAAATAATAAATAATCCTTGTTATTAAGTGTGCTAAGATACAAATTAAGCTGAGACAACATAATATTTTGTACCTTGTGCGTTACTTTTGTAAATTGTTACTCATATGGATGCCTGTCATCAATTAATTTTTATTCTGTTTCTCTAATTTTTTTAAAATGCGAATAACTAATAAAAAATATTTGATTTGCCATCATTGAATAAATAAGGTACTATTAAATAATAAATGTAATACAAATTATTTTAATCTGTTTTAAAAACATGTATTTCTTGTGATTCGGGATAGGGTAAATTGGTAGTAAATTATAAATGTAAATATAAGAATTTTTACTACATTTATGGTAAAGATTATGAGTATGAAAAAAGAAGTAATAGAAAGTGGATACTCATTATTGTAAAATTAATTTAAATTACTTTTGTATTAATACTATCATGAAATTAAATGTGGTGACTCTAAAAATTTAGGATTCAAAATAATTTTATGATGATAATAATAATTTTATTTAAGGAGATGGATGTAATAACAAATTTTTGATTGAAACTATTTTAAATGTTAAAATAGTGCTTTTACAATCCCCAAACAATATCTATAATATTATCTAAGAGACCAATTAATGATTTATTAACAGATTTAAATTTATATGATAAAATTTTTTTAATTCTCTTAATATTATTAGTTGACATTATAATTAATTCATAAATGAAGAATTAATTATTTTAAAATTTGTTGTTTCTTTCTGATTGAAAATTTATAACTTATAAGTTAACTTTTTTCTATTTTAAGTGAAAATTATGAACTTTCATTGAGATCTCTTTTTTAAAATAAAAGAAAATTTATATTAATCAATAATTATAAAAAAGCAATTTGCAATATTATTAATGAAGAAAATAATAAAATCAGTTTTATAATTCTGTTGATAGATCTATTTGGAAATATTATTATTTGGTTAAAGATAATAGAGTATTATCAAAGTTTTTAGTTTAAAAAGATTAAATTTCTTCAATTTTATCTTTAAATTTAGGATTCATAGACAAAATTTCTTTAATAAAAAAAATAAATACATTTATTAATTCCATCTCCTTTTAGAGAATTAAAATATGGATGCTTTAAAGCTGAATCAATATTAAATCTATAAAAAGATTAGTTTTCAAGGAGATTTTTCATAAGCTCGGATCCAGAATCTGGTATTTCTGGAAAATCATCTTAATTATCTTCCATATTTCTTTTGTAACTTATTTTATTTTATAAATATATACAATTTATACATAAGAGTGCCAACTTTAAAAATGTCCAGCTCAAATTCATGATTAGTCGTTTTCTGAAAAACTGCATTGCTAAATCCAATTAGTTTTAATTAATTTTCTTCATCAAACATTATGTGAGATCTTGAAATACTTTTATGAGCTATAAACAATTTTTCTAATCTTTTGATCGATATTAGCAAATTCTAAGTAAATTATAAAATATACATAAACAATTATTTTAATCTCTTCATCAGTAAAGTCATTATCAAAATTTCTGTATAAATGTTCCATAATTAAATATACACAAGAACTGGATTCGTATACTTCATATACCATAGGAATAAAACTTTATCCTTGCAGTTTTAGTAATAAATTTATTTCTTCATGGATGTTTTCTATTGATCGATTAGATTTTTTATAACACTTGCAGGCATAAATTCTAAAATTTCTATTACTAATCAGTGAACAAATCTAAATTCTTTTTAAGAAATCTTACTTTAGTTGTATTGTTTTAGTTTAGGTAAATAGTCTATTGAAAAGTATAAAATTTTAAAATTCCTTTAAAAGTTACAAGACAGCCCAGGCTCATTTTTAATTTAGCCATATTTTCTGTTGTGCCTTCTACTTCAAGATTTTCAATTTTAAACCCAATTATTTTATCTCCATAAAAAATCCAAGTTATTATAAGTTTTAGAGAAAGTTTAAAGGTAATTTTTTATTCTTAATTAATTAGATCTAAAGAGGATGTAGATAATTCTAAAGTAAAGTTTTGATCTCCAATTTTACATGGAAAATACTTTGCGTTTAACATATATTAAATTAATAATTATTGTTACGATACAGCAAATGATGAACTTTTAAAAATCAGATATAATATTTGTTCTTTAGAACTTTTAAGAATAAGATATATCATAATTTTTTATTAAGGAAAAAGAATATAATTTAGGTCTTTAAATTACTTTACAAATAGATAATTTATATTAAAACTAGAAGCAAAGTTGAATGAGACCATTAGAAAAATCCAAAATATTAATAATCATATATTATTAAAATTTAATATTTATTTTATTTTTCTTTAAATTAGATGTAAAAAGTATGCTTTGCTGGAGAATGCAAAATTGAAGGTCACAATGAAGAATTTTTAGATAAGGTTTGTGTACAAAAATCATGCTCGAAAAGAGGTTTAATTTGTGAAATTTGTAGAATATAAATACATTCAAAATGTAAGATTTTGACAATACAAAAATTTTTGAGACAATTTAAATAATAAGTCAATATAATATAAGCTGATCAATTAGAATGTGATTCGTAATCATATTATGAATAAATTTTCTAGATAATTATAATAAGAATTAGAAATTCTTCAAATTTAAAATTAAGAAATTTTATAGATTCTCAACTAATTTTTTGAGGAAACTGCAAATAAATTTCAACTGTAATTTAAAATAATAATTTAGCTTAAAAAATCAATTCACTTAGACTTACAATAGAAAATAATAATTGAATGTAAAATTGGAGAATTTTATTTCTAACCAAACCATAGATATATTTGAGTAATTATTCTAAGAAATAGAATTATTAAATTATAATAAGGACCTCACTTTTTAAATTAAAGTTACTAATTCAAATGATATTAGTCTAATGTAGGAAAAAATATAAGAATTATAATAAATCAAGCCTCTTAATAATTAACTTTTAAACCATTTTAATTAATATTAGGAAGGAATCAAAATATTGTTAAATAATTGTTTAGAAAAAAAAGAAATAAAAGGCCATGAAAATTAAATGAATTTAGAAATAACAGTATAATCAATAAGTTAATAAAACCTTTCCTCAAAAACACAAGGTATGGTTAATTAAATTTAATTATCATAAAACTCATAAGAAGAATAAAATTAATAGGATTAATTTGTTCAACAAACTAATTAAATAAAAGAATAAAATTAGTCTCCTCTAAATGACATAGATTATTAATTGATATTTACTTAACTTGAGATATAAGGACAAAACAAAAGTTCTCAGACTCTTTAAGAATGTTTATAGATTAAAAAATAAGAAATAAATTCAAATTAATAAATTTAATAAACAACTCTTCATATTGAATAATACAGTTCTATGAATGAGACATATGAAAATGAAGTATTACCTTTAACATTAAATGAACTAAAACTCTAAATCCTACCTATTAAAGATTATAAAGAAATAAGATTTGTTGTTCCAATACAAAAAGATATTTATTTATTTACAACTTCAAAAGAATTTTTCATAGTAGATTTAATCAAATAAAAAAAATCTCAGATAGAAAAGTTGGAAAAAAAAATTAGTTCAGTTGAAAATATTTTCCAAAATAATTTAAGTAATCTTATTTTCGCTACAAAAGATGGAAAAGTTCATTGTTATGAATATAATAAGATTTAACATAAAATAAAATTTGTAAGATCACTAAATTTATCAAATAAAAATGGGCGTTTATTAATTAAAAAAATTGAAAATAAATTAGTTACAATAGGAGGAGAAAATAGATTTAAAATATATTCTTATCCTAATTTTACTTTAGTATAAGAAATAAACATAACGAAATCAAAAGCACCAAAATTTTTATTAGTGAATGATTAAGAAGTTTTCATTGCAGGTAATAATTTGGTGGCAATTATGAATTCCAAAAATTAAATTTAGTACTTAGATGATATGCCTGAGAAACCAAAATGTTTAGATTTTAAAAATCGGCTATTATTGATAGTTTACTCACAAAAAATTATGATTTATGAAAAAAAATAAAATATGTATGCTTTTAGGTGGATTTATACTTTTATAGAAAAAGAAATATAAATTTGTAAATTTATGACTTTCTCACCTTTATTATTTATAAATGTTAAATAAAAATAAGGATATGAATAGTCTTCTGCTTAAATTTATGAAGATAAACTAGAAATGGAGAAGATTGATACTAAAGATATATCAGTTCTTGCAATTGAGAATTTAGAAAATTAATTCATAATAATTGCTTTATAACATGATAGTAATAACTTTTTATAGATTAAATTAATAAAAGAATGAATAATTATAATCAAAAAACTAATTTTGTAAAATATATAACTTAAATTCAGATATTAATATTATTTCTTTCTTTATTATTCAATAAAGTAATTTATAATTAAATTTATATAGATGGATCCAATAATAATATTTTCTTTAATTTGATTAATGACATATTAACTAAAAAGTTTTAATCTAATTTTTTTAAGTCTTTTAACAGACTCATAATAGAAGATAGAAGGCTTTTTATCAGAAAAAAAATATTTGATATTGGGTTCTTTTTTGAATTTATGAAAATGATCATATCATTGAACTATTTTCTTCCTTTCCAATTACATAATAGTATCTTGAAAAACTTACAGAAATCTATAATAAAGGAAATAACCTATTATTAAATTGGTTCTCCATATACTTTCATAAAGAGTGATAAGTCTAAACATCATTCTTTATTTTAATGCTAAATTTTGTAATTTAAATTTAATTTGATTTTTCATTAGCCCGAATATTTAACTTTAATATTTAATTATAGAAAATAAAATTAATATATTAAAATTATGACTCTTTTTTTATCATAGAAACAAAAACTCTATTTTCTTCTTTGCCTTATTATATAATCTACTATATATAATACATCGCTAAATTCGGTATGGTAATGAATTTTGAAGTAAACATTCAAAATAAACATAATAGAATTATATAATTAAACATTTATTGCTATTTGATTATAGTTTTATCATATTGAAAACTCTTTATTAAATATTGCTAATTTATTTATTATATTTCATTCTCAATATTAAAAATTTTCATACGCTATAAATTGTTTAATTAATTGTAGAATGATTGTTGCGAATATCTTCCCATCTTATCAGAATTTAAAATATTCTAGATGCTATTCTTGCCTCTGTAAATAATTTTTTGTTCACTTTATTTACTTAAATTAGAATACATTTTAACTTTTTTGCTTCACACTCCTTAAGGCATAAAAAACTAAATAAAATAATAATTAAATACTATAATTTATTAACATCCTCATCATTAATATCTTCCTTTATCTTAAAAGGCTCTGCCTCTGTTTATACATCTGATTAATATTTTTCTTTAACTTTTTGTAAATCTAAATTAGTTTACACAGAATATTCTTTTTTTTCATTTGCAATTATTGGATCAGTTCGATATTTATTTTTGGCTTTTTTTATTAAGGTAATTGGCTCAGTTTCTGCACCACCAACGTAATGAAATATAATTAAAATTTATTTTCTCTTTTAATTCAATAGTTGTTTGAATTCCATCTATTATAGCAAATAAGGTAATTCTTGAATTAAATTTTCCTTATTGTATGTATTGAGATATCCAACAACAACTGCTTAATTCTGCTCAACAAACATTTTATTATGCAAATTTTTTATTATTTAGATGGGATCTTTATCTGCTTCTTTATTTTAATCATCATTTGTTCCATTATCTATGATAGCAAAATTGAGATCAATTTGCAGATTGTCAGATTTTTAAGTCTAGGTTTCTAAACGATTCATTAGGAACTTATATAAATTATTATATTCTATAACTTTTTAAATTAAAATTTAGCACCTTATTTAATTATCAAGATAGTTTTCTATATCAAGATAAGTTAAAAATAGAAACAAAAATCATGAGTGGAAATCTCTTTAACTCTAAAACTTAAAGAAGTTAAAAATAATTAAAAAAGCACGGAATAGCGCCCAGAGTAATGGTTTCCAAATAAAGAAGTAACTCTTTGGCAAGTCCGTTTAAATAAATAAAGACAAGTCTTATAAATATTTACAAAATAATTAGAAATATTAATATGGGATTATATATACTAATTTATATAAAGGTAATTTTTTTAAATGAATTATTTTTTGGATAGATTGATTTAAAATACATTAATAAGATTTAATATATTAGCTCCAACCTTTTTATAGATTTATTTTGAAACACTGTTAGTAAAATAGTTGAGAAATTAATAATATTATTTTTACATATAGTATTTATACCAAAATTATTGTGAGAATATTTAATAAAGATATTATTAATTTGTTAGAATATCAAATGGCACCATAACCAGAACCAAGTAATTAAAGCAGTCAATCTGTTGAAAATAAAGAAGTATAAGTTTCTAATTGATTTTAAGGTTTTCAGATTCATTTACAAGAACAGGGAATACGATGTGACAGAATATGTTCCAAAACATCCTGCTGGTAAATCCTTTTTTGATAAAATGAAGGATGAGAAATAAGATTTTACAGAATATTTTAGGTAATTGAATTGTTTTATTGATAATTTAGATGCCTACATTCCAAAAGAGCTTTGAAAATATTAAAATCCTAAAAAGTTGTGAATTCTAATTTAAAGGAATCAGAGGAAAGCAAACAATATACACATATAAAAAAATAAGTAAAAAACCTTTTTGAACCCGATTGGACAATAGAACTTCTACTTTTTATTGGATTAAGTCTAGGTTTATATTTAGGAGTTACTAGTGAATGGTATATAGCAATTCCTACAATTGCATTGACCTAAATTGTGGCTGGGTAAACATTAGCTTATATTTTTAGATGGTAAGGACATTCCACTAATCACAATCGAAATCCATTGTTGTACAAATTATCTATTCCTTATGGAATTATTCATGGTTTTTCCACAGATTGGTGGTAATTCAAACACAATAATCATCATATCTTTACAAATAGAATTGGAAAAGATGATGATATTAATCACCAATATTAAATGTGGTAATATGGATTTCTCTATTTAAAGTATAAATATATTCATAATCTTAGATGGAAGTTTGATTCTTTTCTTTTTTCTTACAACAAAATCGACATAATATTTATCTTTATTCATCAATTAATTGTATTTTAACAAAAAATATGGATTTATGTTATTGCTTAATACATAGCTGGATTCTTTAGTGCATGCATATTGATAGGAAATCACGAAAGAGAATATAAGTTCTTTAATAAAATTGACAAACCTTTCATTGAACATTAAATTATCACTTCTAGAAATTATGATTGGACAGGTAATTCTATTTTTAAATCTTTAGATTGGTTATCTAATTTATTAATGGGAGGAATGTAATTTTAAACAGAACATCATTTATTTCCTTAGATTCCATTCTATCGATTACCTTATGCAGCTAAAATTATAAATAGAGAATTAAATAAATTTGGATACAAAATACATGTTGGCAAAATATTATGATAATATTTAAACAAATAATATAGTTATTATTTTTAATTCTAATCAATATAATTTACTAAATAGAAATGCAAAGAATGTAAGAAAATGCTCAGTTAATTTTTAATCCATATCCATGCCATTCATGAAAATGATCCCTTTTTAATTTTTATTAACTACCACTTTTATAATAAATTCATGAGTTTGATTTTTTTATTAAATCAACACTTTACCTCCAACAGTACAATCATCTATTTTTATTAACCATGGATGAAATATTAACATCTCATCAATCTTTCTTGAATAAAACTATTCACTTTGACATTTCATTTTACAATCCAGAATTTCATCACTTGATATAAAATTTTAAACAAAAAATTTATTTGCTGGTCTAGCTATACAAAAATGAAAGTTTCTTTTAAATTGTCCCACTCTAATAATAATATTTAATATATATATATACTCTTATATAACATTTCTACTGTTCATCTGAGATAAAAACAAATTCTAATATTCTTAGGTACCTTATAGTCCTTGACTCTAAGATAATTTATTAAAATTGTATCCCATTTTATAATTGTTAATTGTATACTTTATGTAACAATTTAAGTAGACACTTTAAATATCGTAATATTAAAATTTAATCTCCTATCTAATGACCTCTCCTGGATTTAAACATTATTTACTTATTTTCTCAGGTTCTAATGTATATTCATCCTTAACTATAATAAATTATATATTATATATATACTTTTATTGGAACTATATAAAACAATTAAATTTTAGATATCATATTGTGCTTTATTTTTAAATAAAATTATTGTTCTATATCCTTAGATATCATTTTATTCGTAATTTTCTGATGTTAATGTCACTATCAATTCATAAGTGTCTAAAAGTGTTGTTTATTCACTTAAACACTGTTTTCTAAAATTTTGGATCTCATATTCTTAAAGGCCTTTCAGAGAATAGTTTTAAAATTAATAATTTGTTTAATATTTTGGTAAATTATCTTCCTACTCTAATTTTATTTAGCTTTCAATTTTTTTTTGTTTTTCAAAATTTTACTATTTTTCATTTTATTACCAACAAGGAATAAAACCCTTTTAAACTGTGTTGTATAAGCTTGATTAAGCAACTTTTACTTTTGAATTTGACTAATCCTAATTCTAAAATTAAACATTCTATATTTGAGATTCTTCAAAGTGATCATCTAAATTTAATTCAAAAGGTGAACAAATTTATTTTTATTATTATTAGAGTAATTATTAAGAATCTTGAACAAAACGAGCTTTACTTTAATTTTAGTCTTAAATTTTTTATGACTCTTAATTTTCTTTCTCTTAATTAAGCTTTTCTGTTATTTATTCTAACCTTTTACCATATCCTTAAACTAAATTGTTCATCTATTATACTTACTCTTTTATTTAATAAAAATCAAAGTTATTTTCTTCTTCATCTTTTAATTTTTGTTAAAATTGTTATGCCAATTATTATAATTGATTGTCAATATTTTATTAAAAAGATTTTCTGATAACCTCGTGTAAACCTGGTATTAATTACTCCACTAATAATTAAGTATTTATAGGCTCTTTATTACTATCTTTGCTTTCTCTAGCACTATGAATTCCTTTTTGAGCTAATGGAATTTCTTGTGATTGACCTTTTATTGAAGGTTGAATAACTTTTGACTCTTATATTGATTTCTCATATGTATTGTCTTAAAATTAAGTTGAATTTCTATTCTTAACATAACTTTATGTTAGTGATTCGTCTTATATTTCTATTATTGGTTCTAAAGATTTTTTCACATCAGTATTTGCTTCGACTTAAAAATCCAATAATTGATAAAATCCAGGCAAATTCTTTTTCCACTGAGGATCTTCAACAAGTTATGTTTCTGAAACAACAAAAGGGTTGTTCTTCTTTTTTTCATTTGCAGAATTTGAAGAATTATTAATCGATAAAAATTAAGGAGATGAATTAGGGGTTATATTTTGCGAAAAACTTATCGCTTAAGCTTAATTTGTTCCCTAATCTCTTGGAGTTATTTTAGGTTCTTATTACTATTGTTATTATTATTATTATTATTATTATTATTATTATTATTATTATTATTATTATTATTATTATTATTATTATTATTATTATTATTATTATTATTATTATTATTATTATTATTATTATTATTATTATTATTATTATTATTATTATTATTATTATTATTATTATTATTATTATTATTATTATTATTATTATTATTATTATTATTATTATTATTATTATTATTATTATTATTATTATTATTATTATTATTATTATTATTATTATTATTATTATTATTATTATTATTATTATTATTATTATTATTATTATTATTATTATTATTATTATTATTATTATTATTATTATTATTATTATTATTATTATTATTATTATTATTATTATTATTATTATTATTATTATTATTATTATTATTATTATTATTATTATTATTATTATTATTATTATTATTATTATTATTATTATTATTATTATTATTATTATTATTATTATTATTATTATTATTATTATTATTATTATTATTATTATTATTATTATTATTATTATTATTATTATTATTATTATTATTATTATTATTATTATTATTATTATTATTATTATTATTATTATTATTATTATTATTATTATTATTATTATTATTATTATTATTATTATTACTACTAAGATTATTATTACTACTAATATTATTATTATTATTATTACTAATATTATTATTACTACTATTATTATTACTACTACTATTACTGTTATTATAAAAATAACTATGTATATTGTTAATTTTCTTCGGTTTAATATTTATTTTAACTTAAATTCAGAGATTCACTATTTTTAACTTATTAAATTTCTTAGCTTTAATTCTAATAAGTATTATCTAAATCATTAAATTGCTCTAGAACAACATTTTAAGATTATTTTACAGATCCTTAAGAATAAAAACTAGTTCTGCTAATATTATCTTTTTTATCCTAATCTACATTTGTTTATATTAAATTTTAAATTTAGGGTGGTTGAAAACCATTATTCTTAGCTTAATTTTAATCAGATTAATGTGATGAAATTGAACTTGCAGCCTTGATCGCTTATTCTTATTGAGGTTAATTTTTAGGAGTCTATTCCTAAGAAGAAAGGTCCTTAAATATAGGGAAATCTATCTATTATTAATTAAATTAACTAAAAATGTTATCTTTATCTAAAGATTTTGATGACTATTATTATGAATTCGTTTATTATTATTACTAGTTATTAATTTATGAAAGTGATTGTTATTTTTAAATTTGATATTATGTTTGCTGAGGGCTTTCTAATTTATCAGATTAAACTATTTATTTTGTAACAGGTTAGGAATTAAAATCTTCCATAACTTATAAAATTTTTGGCTCTTAAGTTTATTATGGATTTTTAGAAACTTCTTATTATTATGATAATTAATTTGGTAAATTAGTTTGAGAACCTGGAATTTAAAAGTTTTTATCATTATTAACTTAATTATTGGAGCTTTATTATGGAAGATAATCTTCCCAAGGGAAATCAGAATTATCATCTTAAATTTCAGGTTTAGAATTATTCATATTATTATTTGATTAAGATTTCTTATCTGAATCGGAATTAAGATTGAATATTTATTAATTATTTTATATGAAATCTAAAAATTAAATTGGAGATTAATTTGTTTGTTATTTTGGTTCTTATTATTCCTATATAAAAGGGTTGCTTTTAGATATTTAAGGTAATGCTTATTATCCTAAGGGTAATTATGGTTGAGATGAAGTATGATTTCTATTTTAAGAAGGAATATTGGATCCAGGGAGTTCATCTTGTAAAGACTTTTATGAAGGTATAAGTTTAGGTTATTCAATTATATTTTATTAAAGTGAATTAGAATTAACTTTATGGAAATTTAATTTCTAATTGATATTTATTTATTATGGGTAAGGTTAATTGAAAATATTATCTAGAGGTTCATTATTAAGACTTGGAGCAAATGTATATGATTAAGCAACCGGTTAATTGGAATTATTTTAATTTCCTCCTGTTTAAAATAGATTAGGATCATGAAATGTAAATGCCATTTATTATTATTGTTAAAGTACTTAAGGCGAAGGAGAAACTTCACTAAAAAATGGAAAATTAGCATTTTCAGGTTAGATTTCTTATGCTTTTAATACCATTTTTCTTTCTAATGGATCTAATGATTCAGGATTTATGTATTTATATTTTTCAGCTTCATTAATCTTTTAAAATTATTAACTCAATTCTGAAGCATTTTAAGAATTCTTTACATCCATAAGATCAACAAAATCATCATTAAGATCTCTTGATTATTTTCTATGTATGACTTATTATTCACCATGACTTAAATGTTTGTACATTTCTACATACGAATCTTAACCAGCTTGTTCACTATTATTGACTTAATTATCATCAAATTGAGGAAAATCATCAAATCCAAATTCTTATCTTTTAGATTGTGGAGTTTCTTGTTATTATGGCTATGCCCAATCTGCATAAAATTCGGTATTACTTATAGGAAATTAATCTTTAAAATCGTTAAAATTGTCTAATTAAAATTATTTAAAAGTGCTGCTTTTAGGTGTGATACTTTTTTCATCAAAAGGAGTCTTTTTTTCTTAAGCACTTTTGAACTAGTCCTAATGAGTTGAGGATTATGGACTATAAAATTAAGGATTAGAAACGTTAGAGATTTATGACATTTGTTAAAAAAAATAATAATATTTAATTAACTATATAAATAGTTATTCATAATTCTTTTTTAATTTTTTTAAGTGTCTAATATCTAAGTTCATTATCTTCAACTTAATCGTTATAAAAAGTGAATGATTATTTTCTACTCCTTTATCCTTCATTCTCTTATTATTATGGTTATTTTTACTCTACTTATTCTGATTAAAGTGATTTCTCATCAATGATAGGTACATCAATCAAATCAGAAAGACTCAATTTTCTATTATTGATATATTTTTTATTTCTCGCCCTAATCTTAGAAAGTATACAATACATAATAAAATGAAAGAATGATTCATCAGTCCCAGGTCTTGATTCTTCATTCTATTAATTATTGATCTTCTAAGGAGGGAACACTTCTTGTTGTTGTATTTATTTAGAAATTTGCATTGATTCAATTTAATTGACTTCAGCAATAGATTAATAAGCGTTTTGAATTTATTAAATAGTAATAATTTATTCCTTTTCTTTACGCAATTCACAGATTTCTTTTATTAATTCTTCAGAATAATTTCTATCAGTTATATCTTGTATTTTCTTTTGCAGCTTGTTTTATTATTATTAATATTTAGTGATTTAATCCTATTTATTTTGATTAAAACAAGTATCAGGCAGATTTAGATCTAAAATACCTGATTGTAACTGTGTTTTAATCTATTATTGCTATTATTAAAGTTATTATTGATTTGACTCTATTTACATGGATTCTTGATTTCCTTGATTGTCATCCTCAGAAATATCTAAAAAATAAAAATAGAAGATATTCATGTTACCATTAACAGAACCATTCCTTTATCTTTTTTAAGTTTAATCAACATCTGCATAATGATGAAACATTTTATTCTCAAAAATCTGTTTAATTTCTGAACTTTTCAGACCATTAAATTATTTGTTAAATTCTTTTTCTAATCTATTAAAAAACTTTTATGCATGTGATCTTAATAATTATAATATAACATTATACCTAATTTATGCTCCACTCCTAGTACTTACATATTCTTCAACCTTTTTCCAATTTTTGCCATGAATACTAAGTGCTTCTACAAATCTTTAATGTTCATCTTTTGTCCACCTTCCCTAAACAACTTCCCCCTATACTATCACTTATGTTATAATTGCTACTTCGCTATCTTCATAAGATCTTGATTATTTTCTCTTATTTATCTATGCCATTTAATTTATTTATAAATATTAATTCATTATTATCTGTCATTCTATTTTATGTTTAATTCATTTGATTATTATTAATTATGAGATTTTTACTGAGGGGGAACATATACCAATTCATACGATTCTCTTAAATACTTTTCATCATCATTTTAATCAGTCTCTGTTTCTTCTGTCTCTACTACAGGTTTCTCTTATTTATAATTTCTTTTCATATCATGTCTTCCTTTATAAAACTTTTATAAATGTTCCTCTTTCTTATTTCTTCTCTCCATTATTTGTTTCTTTTTCTCCTCATCTTTCTAATTGTTTAATCTCTATTATTATTTCTCCTTCTTTATCTTTTTCTCTGCCTCTATGAAATCTGTCTTCGTTCTTAACAAGAATTACAACTTTGATTCAGATAAATCAATCACTATTTTTTCTAATTGCTATATATTTCAATCTTATTTACATTTATAACCTATTTTATCACTTTTGAATCTATCTATTATCTCTTTCCCATAATATCCTAATTCTTTGTAGCTTCCTATTAAATTTCTATTATTTTCTTTCCAATTTTATCCATATCCAAATCCTCCCCCTCTGCAAATTATAATTTAGTCTAATCAACTTTCTCCTAATCTTTTAATTAATTTTATATCTTCAATTATGCTTTCAATTTTCTTTCTTCTGCTTTCAACATTTCCAAATGCTCATCCTATTCATTTTTTAACTTCTATTCTAATTTCTCTAATTCTCTTTTCTTTTATTCTATATCTTCTTCTGCATCTCTTTAATTTTAAATATTCCTTAAATTTCCCTCTTCTATATTGTTCAATATTTCTATTACTAAATCAGCCATTCTCTCTTATTATCTTTCTGCCTCAATTTATTCCTGTGTTTATTTCTATTCTTCTCTCTAATCCACACCTGTTACAAAAAATTAATTCTTCTACTCATTCTATTAATTAGAAAATAAATTTATGTCTTTCTTTTCAAATTCTGAAAATTTTGTCTTGTATGTATCCTAATTTACATAATCATACTTAATATTTACTTTAATTTTTTCTAAAAATTATCTATATTTATCTAATTTTTCAAATTCTTCTCCATATTTAGTCTTCTATAATTTTAATCTATCTATTTATGCTAATATTTTAGCAACTTCCGTTTTAACTTCATCTTTCTTTTTTGTTTCTCTATCTGCTTAAAATGCAGCTTAATCTGCTTAATATTTAACTTCATTCATAAACTTTTTTACTAATTCACAATCATTTTTAAAATATAATCTTCTTGCTCTTAATGATTCTTATTCATTCTTTATAAAATCTTCCAATCTTTCTGTTTCTTCCTTCTTTGTCATTATATTTAAATTTGCTAAACATATTTCTCTCTTCTTTTCTATAAAATCTGTAATCGTTTCTCTCTTCTCTCTTAATATTGATTTAATTCGATATTTTTTTTTCTTCATCTCCTATAATTCAAAATCTTTCTTTTTATCTTCTTTTCCATATATTGTTTTTCTAGCTTCATCATCTCTATATTCCATTAATTTTGGATTAAAATGTTTTATATGTTAAGCTATTTCATCTATTTTCTAAGGTTAATTTGGATCTCTCATTTTAGCTTCATTTGCAAACATTTCATCTCTCTCTTATGCTAATTTATTTGCTATTATTTTATTAAATTCAGCTCATACTTTGATCTTCTAATTTTTATAACAGTCCAAATCTTGTTGACTTAGCACTTGTTTAATATAATTTTTAAGTATGTGGAACTTATTTTTATTCTTCATCATCATCGTTATATCCAGAATTACGTTCTTTTTCTAACTTTTAAAGAAACTTTTTAGAATCCAACTCAAATTAAAATGGATTTTCTTCTTATGTTTATTATTATGCTTAATTCATAATAAATATATAAAAAAAATTATGAAAAATTAGAATTAGTTAAATGAATATTCATTACCAATACATAGTTTAGTTAAATTAAATTAAAAAAATGTTTGAACATCATAACTTGAAAATTAGAAATTAGTCTGAAAAATAATCAATTTTTAAGAATAAATTTTTTAATTTAACTGCTAATAAAAATGTCTAATTAACCATTTCAAGTATATTTGAGAATCAAACCATTACTGGAGAGCAGGTAAAAAGTTTATGTATAATCATTTAGTACTGAAACTTTAATTGAAGATTTGAATGACAATAGAATTGTTATAAGGAAAGATGGTAAAAATAGTAAATCATTTGTTTTCGATAAGATATTCAGTGGTGTTCAAAATAATGAAGATATATTTGATCAATCATTGAGAGTATATATATATTAAAAATAACAGCATAATCTGGAACACTTTATTGAAGGTTACAATACAACAATTCTAGCATACGGTATAACTGGTTCAGGTAAAACTCATACTATTTTTGGAAATGAAAAAGATGAAGGATTATCATTCAAATGCATTAACTATCTTGTGAATAGAATGAAATACATGAGGTTAACTAGCTTTATATATTAATACCTAGTCCTGAAGCTAATGTTTAAATGGAGATGAGTTTTATAGAAGTCTACAATGAAACCATAAGAGATCTGATGTCAGAATAACCTAAACCTTTGATCATAATGTAAGACAATCAAAAAGGCTCATACATTTAGGGTTTACAAACAATTAAAATTAACAGCATTAATGATGTATTTTTATTTACTAACAAAATAGGTGAAAGAAGGCATAAATATTGCTAATTAAAATAGAAGCTTAGCATAAACGATATATAATGTGTATTCATCAAGATCACATGCATTAATATAATTTAATTTATCTTATAGTTTTGAAGGGTAATAGTAGTCATTCTATCATTAGTTAAATTATAACACCAAAGCTTTTTATAGTAGATTTAGCAGGTTCAGAACGAGTTTATTAGGATCAAAAGAGTAAGAATTAATAAGAAGGTTCAAATATAAATAGATCCCTTTTGGCTTTAAGTAATTGTTTGACCATTCTATCTGATAAATCTAAGAAAAATCAACATATTCCTTATAGGAATTCAAAATTAACTAGATTGCTGCAAGATTCTTTAGGCGGTAATACGAGAACCATCATGATTTCTTGCATATAATAAAATAAATGTCAATATGAGGAAATTTTAAATACTCTTCAGTACAGTAGTAGAGCTACACAAATAAAAAAGTAAATTTAAAAGTCTTTACATTAATAAATAACTGAAGAGAAAATCCTTATTCCTACTAATATAACTGAATCTGAAATGAGTACTAAGTAATTGTATTTAACAAAAATCTACAATGATATTTATAGTAATATTGAAGAGTATCATGAAATAAATAATTCACTAATTGAAATACAAAATAATATACTTCAAAATCAATTTTAAATTGAGGAAATCTATTAGATGAGTCTATAAAATAATCTAAATTCAATTAATGATGATTAGATGTATCATAATCTAATGATTGCATAAAAATAAAATTAAGATATCGAATAGCAACTGTAGAATGCTCTTAAAGTCAATTTAAAATAAAAATAACTTTAGAAATCTTTATTGCTTTAAATCACAGAAGAATAATAATAATATATTGATTATTGGAAATTTAAATATGAAGAATAGAAAAAAGAGATATCTGATTTAAAATAGGTTCTGTAATTAAAAGTATTGATATTATAATAATCCCTAGAATGAGGATATACAATCTAAGGATACTTAAATTTAATAATAGTAATTATTATTAGATTAAATTAAGTCTAAAAATCCATCTTTATATACTACTAATAATGATTCTGATTGTTCTTATCCTTCATCATTTGCCTCATCAACGAGTACTTCGTAAATTAAAAAGAAATCATCTTTGACTCATTTAAATGTTTAAAACACTTTGGCATAATAATCTTAATTGTTTGACATGATTGATCGACCAAGATTTTCGAATTTATCTCATATCAAATAAATATTGGCTTCAAGAGAGCGTTCTCCAGTAAATTCAATATTTAGGTAATCTCCTATTAGATCCCCTCTTAGAAAAAAACCATCCATTCGAAATATTAGTAATATTTAAAAATAATCATTAGCTTCTATATCAAAAGTAGAATAATCAGAAATTTCATAGATTTCCTCAATCAAAAAGTCCAGACTCATAAATGATCCACAAATAACTACAATCAATTTATATGGGAGTCAATATATCAATTTAATAGACAAAGAAAATATTTCATGATATTATTATATTTATAACTAAAATTTTAAACATTATGTCATCCATAAATTTTTGTAAATAAGAATAATTATTAAAGGAAATTTTTTTTTATTGTTTTATATATAAGAGGCATAATAAGATAAACAAAAATTTACTAAAAAATTAAAGATGCAACATATTTTTAATTGTTTAAGAAATTATATACTAATCAGAATAAAATTTTGTATGGTTTTAAACCAACTTATTCAGGAAAATTGTATAATATATTTCTGCATTCTAAATATTAGCAAATATGAGACAATCATATTATTTCTCAACTTTAGTCTAAAATATTTTATGCTAAGAATTTAATTTTGTCATATGCATATTCTTTCGATTTATTTTAATTAATTTAATAAATTACCATTGATTCTTTTTTATTAAAGACTTAATTCTTATAATTCCTCATTTTCAGTATTATTTAAAGGTCTGTTTAAAAAAAATTTGCTCATTCAAAATTTTTATAGATTAGAAATATCTTTTGCACCTACTTTTTAGACTCATCTATATTTATTCTAGACTAGTATATCAAGAAGTAATAGCGGATTATCGATTGTATTTATGAAAAATAATTTTCATATAATTTGAATGAATTTAACAAAATAGAAGATAGAGTAAGCTAATTTTTAATATTATGTTAATCATTTGTTTTTGAAATGAATATTTGTTAGTCTGTTATGCATATATTTTCATAAATTTATTATCTCTAATTTTTGAATAAGTTTTATAATTATTTAAATATTTTCTTGTGTACTTTTTTTTTTCTTAATTGCTCCCTATTTTTTGATCTCTAATATTAATTTTGAATTTCTTATTAAAATATCAATTATAAATTCATTCACGGATTTTAGAAATTTCATATAAAGAATGAATTTTAGATAAATTAGTGATTAGAAATACTTCTTAGAAGATTAAAGGAAAATATTTAAAAAGTTTGAAAAAGAATTGTATAAGATATTGTAACCATATAAAACTGTATGAAAAATCGCTAATTTATCTAATAATAAAATATTAAATGAATAGTAGCTAAAAAATTAGAAAGGGATCTCGTAATATGAAGTATGAATAAATTTAACTTTAAGGTATAAGAAGATTTCATAAGAGCAAAGAACTTAGATTATAAATGAATTAACAAAGAATGGAAAAACCCTTAAGGAAGTAAAAAACTAAACAATAAAAAATAGGTATCTGAAGAAACTTAGTTGAAACCTTCTACTGTTAAAGCCATATTGTAGGTGTATTTAAAAGAAGGAAGGATTGGTAAGAAATCTACTCGAGATAGAAAAGTGAAATTGTTAAATACCACAGTAATTGCTTTAATTGACAAGACCAAGTAAAATATTTTGATACATATATTCAAAGAAATTCAGATTATGCCATTGAGAATTTCTAATTTATTCATCCTATGATCAAAATAAACCAGCAGTCTTCTGAAATATCACATAATGGATAGACTTTAACTGAAACTTAATAGAAACTAGATTAATACTCTAAATAACTAATGATGTCTTAAGTTAAAGACTTTCTAAGAGAAAAGAAACAAGAAATATTAGAATAGTTAATCAATCCATTAGCAAAACAGAATTTTCTAAATTAACTTGCCCAATTTGAAGTTGCTGATTAATTACCCTTTTAAGATTTAAAAAAAGAGCATTTATAGGTGGAAGATGAATAATTTGTTGAAAAAATCACTTAACATCTAAAATCTAAAGTAAAACTATGATTTTAAAAAATACATATGTTTTATATATAAATCATAATAAACTAGTTGTTCTTGGTAATTCATATAATGATATTATTTATCCATTTTGATAACCAATAATAAGAACTCTATGAGTATTAACTATATTTTAAATGAATATTACGTTAGATAAATTAGCTGCATGCAATTGGAGTACTCAAGAATTCTAAATTTTTAGTGTTAATTAATTCTTTAGCTTTTTTCAACTAATTTGTTTCCATTTTGATTTCCATATCGTCTAATTTATATTTCTTAAGACAATATTGATTAAAATCATCAGTCTTTTTCAGTTAAATAATAGATGTGACAAAAATAGCTCCATCAAAAGTGAGGATTAACTAAAATGTATATAAAAAAATAAATATTACAATTTCAGGGGAATACTCATTTATAATATTGATAGTTATAATATGATCTAATAAAATTCTTGAAAGGAATAATTCACCTTGTAAAGTGTATATAATTAATTATTTGGATTAGGAAATTAAAATAAATCCAGAGGGATGAATTTTAATCTAAGGATAATCATTATAAAGAATAGAAGTTTCAATCAATTTAAGAAATGCTCCTTTTAGAGTGTGGATTAAAATATCTCCTTTAATATCATAACTTAAAATAATTTGTAAAGTTGAATTAACTTAAATAATTGAGACTTCATTTTAATGTCCATATAAAATGAATTCAGGTTAATGTGATAAAGTCCATTCCCAAACTGATATTCTTGTATCTCGACTTCCACATAATAATTAAGTAGTACTTTTACCTAAGCAGGTAACTACTTTTGTATGGAATAATACAGAACATGTTTGTTTGAGATCTTTAAGAGAATAGACTTTTACAGAATTATCTGTGTATCCGGCAACTACTAAAGAATCATCAAATAATAGAAAATTGTTATCTGGATTAAATTTTATTTGTTTTGCTTCTTAACTACCAAAATCTTTAGGTATTTTATGACTAGTTATTCTATGTTCTACATTAAAAACATGTATTTCTTATTCATTTGTTATTAATACTAAATATTTATCATTACAATAGAGTTGTTCAATTTCGATATTAGTTTTGTTTATCATCAATGTAATCTATTAAAATTTTAATAATGGATTTTAATCATTCAATTTTGAATATTATTTAATTGGATGATCCTTTTTAAATAATTACAAAGGAGTTTAACCATAGTAATATACTTAAGTAATATATTATTCTTTTAATAATTCATCATCAGTTTTCTCCAATAATTACTATACATAATTACTATATGTTAATCGATGAAATAAATTATTATATTTCTAAGCATTCAATCCGCTTTTGTATCCAAAAATTAAATCTATCCAATTATGTAAATTAAAACTTACAAAATCACTTTCTAAAACTAATCGATTTAAAAATATCATTTCTTCTGGACTATTAGTATTAATAAATTATGGCAATGTTACATCACTTACAATAGTTCCTGATTGAAGTTATCCTAAATCAAATTTATTTTTATTTTTTAAAAATTCACTAAAGTAATAGAACTCTGGTATTAATTCTTTAACATCACTACTTGAATTTGTAACAGAATGCCATTACTATTCTAAAGAATGAAATAATCTATCTGCTTAATCAAATCTTCCAGATTACAATTCTTAATGAAGTGATGCAAATGGTTCCATTCTCATTAAAAAACTCATCACTATAGCACTATGTGAATAATGAGTTCCATAATTAAAATACATATTCATATCATCTGGATTTGCCTACTTAAATCTTTCTAAAAAATTCTCCAATCTCTTTTAATTTATTGCTCCAATAGGAATATCTAATTTTCTATAATGATCTTTATTTTAAATATCAAAATCTATATAATTTGCAATCACCCATGGAAATATTGGATATTAATTTAAATCATTATAAGTTCTACCTCCATACTTATTAACTTCAATCAAATATTAGAAATTAGTTATATCACCTCTCTTCCACTTCTCTATTATACCACTCTTTTTAATCTATTCACTTGGATTCATTATTACATTACAATTTTATGATAATATTTTCATCACTGTTTATCTTTAACCAAACAAATTAAATAAATAGGTCTTGTTATTATTTGTAAATAGTTCTATTGCTATTGGTTATGCTAAATAACTTCTTGGAAATACCTCCTTTATTTAAGATAATGGAATCAATTTTTGTTTTTCTGACTTTAATAAACTATCTTTCTAAAATTTATACTAAACTTCTTAAAATTAAACATCTAAACCAAAATTCTCAAACATAAAGTATTCATTTGTTATTCTTATTTTTCCCCTATAAAATCCTCTTTAAGTTATTAATTCTGCCTTAAATCTTTAATTTTCACTACTATTCTAAATATTCTAATTCTTATCCTTCTATTAAACTAATTATTATCCACCATATAAATCATTAAAAATGTTTAATGCAGTATTATTCAATTAAATATGTTCATATGTCTTTTTTTATTTTGCAAATACTTTCAAAAACATCTTTCTTCTCATACTATCTTCAAAACTATTTATAGAATATCTTTCTTTTCCTAATAATTCCAAAAATTATTCCAAGTTTTAATGATTCAATTATTCATATAAATGAGCATCTCCATAATTCATAAAATACCACAATCCTCTTTTATGTGTGTTTTATTTATAATGCATTTTCACTTTGAATTAAATTATTAGTTATTTTATTATCAATTCATTTTCGAACTTTTGAATATATTACAAAAATTCTTGTCTATATTAATTAAATAAAGTTGTTGAAATCTTTGGAAAGTCAAACAATTATTATTAATTCTAAGATTATTGTAAAAATTATTATTAAATATTTATATTCATTGATGAAATTTCTGTTTAATCAATATTCTAATTTTATAATGAATATATATTTAATAAAATACTTAATTCTTATGCAAATTAAATTTATCTAAATGAATATAAATTAAGATAAAAACAACTCTTTTAAATTAACTCTTCTTGTTCTTTAAATAATTCTAAATATTTTAATGGTGAATTCACTTTATTTATGAGATCCAAAAATTTCTTAGCCTCATTATTTAATTTACCATTTAATTAAATTGATTATTATATTTACTAAGTTTATTGATTAAATTATGTAATAAGATGATAAGCTCTCTCATTTATTTCTTCAATTGATGTGTTTAATGATAAATTTTCTAAATTAATCTTTGTTGATAAATTTATACTTTAATTTTATGAAATATTTGAATCCACAATTTACCAAAAAGATTGAAAATTTAAAAAGTTATCAAATTTGTACTTAATTGATGCAAAAATATCATAAAGTTCTTCAGAGTATGAATAATTTTTAGACAGAATTTAGAATTTTAAGATATGAAAAAGGTGAATATCTTAAAAATATTTATCGTATTGAGTTAACTAATATTCACCGAACACTGATTATTTAAATTTTTAAACTAAAGTTGACTTTTATGATTTTACCTTAATTTTTTTAAGTTTAATTTATTAAGCAGGAATTTAATCATTATTTATTAGAGTTTAAGAATTATGTTAAAATTAACATTTTTATCTTTCTGTTAATAATTTCTTCCAAATAACTAAAAGTTGTTTAGCTTCCTTATTTTAAATTAAACATTCAAAAGAATAAAATAAAATAAATAAGGTAACTCCCATCACTCCTCCATTTGGATAAATATATTTTTTTTACACTTCATTTTACTAAAAGCAAAAAAAGGATTTAGGATCATATTCATAAAATCCTATAAATTCAGTATCAAGATAAAATGAATTCAACATATCCTATTTTTATAAATAAGTAATATATTCATAAAAGACCTTTACAAATAATTCTGGATCATCTAAAATCATTCCTCTATTTTATATAAGAGCAGTTGGTAATAACATATATAAATCTAGTAATGCAATTACTGATTTTTAATTTTATTTATCATTAGAATTATTTTAAAGTAATAAAATTGTCAAAATAACTTTCATAAATTAATTATTTTGTTGTTGTATCATATTAAATAACTTAAGTATTTTTTTAGCAGAAAAATCAATATTGTCAATGTGATGTAAGACAATATAATTTATTAACGTTTATCCTGTCTCAATATTAATTAATTCTCTAATGAAATTCATAAGTTCTTTATGATTGCACAATTTTGTCATAAATGATGTGTATTTTTATGATTGAAGAAAAAAATCAATTATCAATTATTTGGTATCACCATTAAATAATGTAAAGTTTTGCAATAATATATTTAAAACATCTTTTTCTAGATTCAACTCTTATTTCAAGACCAGATTTGATAGCTAATCTAAATAAATTTAAATATAATACAGAAATTATAACTTAAAATGTTTGTTAGCTACAAATTAAGTTATTGCTTAATTCAAATAATATATAATTTATTTTATTGAATAAAGATTTTATAGCACTGTATTCTTTAGCTTTTTATTATTATTATGAATTCTTATTTTGTTAAAGTTCTAACAATTTGAATTCATAATTTATTTAATGAATTTGAGCTTTTACTAAAATATCCATTAATGGACCTAATAATAAATCATCTAAAGTATTCTGATTTATCATTTCGATAGTTACACCATAAACTATTTTGAAAATTATTTATAATAGAGTATCATCATTTTCTATTTTTAATGCAAATTGATTTTACATCACATCTATAAATGATTCTTTTTGAGATGTTTGATTACCTTATCGAATATCAGTTAATAACTCTAAAATTAAAGTGTTTTAAGGTTTTTTAAATATAAAACCTAACATAATCACTAGATCATTAATTGTTTTTAAAGTTAAATAATTTAATATCAAAATTATTTCGTTTTTTAAGACTTATAATTTCTCACTAGATGCGTTTCTTTTATCTCTTAATTCTATCTAAATTGGCAAGATCTGATCATTACTAAATTACATTTACAAAAAAGGATTATACATAAGATATAGAATACATTTTATTACCATCTTTCTAATTTAATTATAGGTTTGCTGATCTCCTTTATTCTCTTCATAACATATTAATTAAATTTATAAAATATAGTGCAAGACCTGTATTTAATCTTTGAAATAAATAAATAATTCTTCATTATTTTACAGCTGTTCAAATAGATAAGAGTAAAGATATAGCAGAATTTCGTATTAACAATATTACCAAAATTCAAATTCATGATATATACACATACAATCATACTTTAATATTTAAACGATTTAACATTGTAACAATGAATTATAGAAATTTAATATTTACTACAATAATTAAATTGAGCATCCTTATGTTTTCATATGAACTATTAATAAATAGCCCAATACTTTTATGCCTTTATAAGAAGAATCAGATCTTAAGTAATTTTATATTGAATTGTCATCACCAAATTTTTGAATTATTGTATTAAGTAATTATAATACACTAATTACACATTGAGGATCATTTATAATATGCAAAGGAAAGAATAGAATATCTAAATTTCCATAAGATTTCATAACATCAAGTAAAGTTGTGTTTTCTAAAAATAATACATTTATTGACTTTTAATTTGAAACTTCTAAAGCATTTTAACTTTTCCTTTATTAAAAAATTTTTCCCATAAATTTGGATATTTTTGTTTATTTCTATCTTCTTCCTCTTAATGTTAAATATTAGCAATTTTCAATGATGACTTTATTATTTTAATGTAAGAGTCCATCAAATTATAAATCTTGCTTTTAAGATTAAGTGTTTAAGTATAATAAAACTCTACCTTTGATTTGCATTTTAAGAAGCTATGAAAATAAAACAGAATTATTCTATGATTTCTTCTCTAAAATGTACATTTCTTCTGCATTAATATTTTAATCTAAAATATAGAGCAACCTCATTTCTCCTCTAAAAGAATCACTTAAAGATTCTTATTCAGTTACTTTAGCACCAACAGTAAAAAAATTTAAAATAGGTATTTAAAAATTGTCGAATTGATCAGCTTGTCTTGGCAAAACATCATTTCCATTGATATTAACTTAAAAAACTTGATTTTAATTGAAGTTTATAACAATAAAATTCTCTTAATATTTTAAAGTATATTTAGCTGTTTTTAATATATCTAACTATTTGTATCTAATACTCAATAATTAAGGATCTTCTATTGCAACTGAAAAGCTTACATCTTAATTACCCCAATTTAGAAGAGTTGATTATTTTAATTAACATTTGAATTAGATGATAATTGAGAATATATTGTTTTGGGTTTCAAATTGCATTTTTCCCTTAACGATTATGCCACTTTCATTTCCTGTAAAATAATAATATTAATCATTTTAAATTGAAATTACCCTATTTAAACAAAAAAGCAAAAGAGTTGAATTTTTTAAAAAAAGATCTTTGTTAACAATTTGATCTTAAAAATACTTTTATTACTAGGATGATCCACATTATATAGACTATGAAGGAATACCTAAAATATTTGCTATTTTTCTATATTATATTAATTTTGATTATTCTTCAATATATGGTATCATTATTAATGATTAATATGGTGACATAAATTAAGCTATTGCTTATAAATATGACACTGAAAATCTTATTTTAATGCAATTTATTAATGTTTAGATTATTAATTCTTAATAAACACTTTCTATTCTTAAGAAAAAAATAAGTCTTTCAACTAATGAACTTTTCATAATAATAAGTATATTTTCAAGGTTTTATGTCAAGACTGTTAATTACTATAAATAAAATTATTTTTAAGTATTTTCTACATTTTACTCAAATAATAGAATTGTTAATAATTCTAAGAAATATGGAACTTGAATTGAAATTTATTAAATATCATAATAATCTTCAAAAACTCCATTTGAAATACTAAACAAAAGTTTAAATATATTTTAACAATTTTAGTTTGTTATAGTCTGTTTAATAATTGATAACAATTATTTATTCTCTAATTCATATTATTTAATATTCCTATCAGTCCAGATACAAATGGCAGTTACTCTTAAGGCCTCAATCAAATGCTCAAAATTTGATTTATATTAAATATGTTCAAATATATTTAAACATTTGAAATTATTTAATTTGAATTCCTAAATATTATCATTGGATAGATGAGGAAAAGTTCCATCAAGATGTAATAACCAGATAGCCTTTAATGAATGTATTGTATTATATTAAGCTAATTATTAAATCACTTTCTAAATTAAAGATATTGATTCATACTTATTGATTCTCTATACTGTTAAAATTCTGCATTAATCCATTAATTATGGATAGATCATTGAAAACACTCAAAGATTCTATGTTTTCATACAGTTATGGGTTTTTTTTATAAAATTCCAATTTGATTTCTTGATCAAACGATTGAATATCATCTAAAAATTTAAAAACTTCAACATCTATTATAAAATTAGATTATTATGCTGATTATAAGAATGAATTTCTTATTTAATTGATCTATTCTTAAGTTAAACATGACGCCATATTTTTTATTATAATTCCTAATAACCCAATTTCAATTAGGCAACATATGTATAATTCTAGACATTATTTATGTGGAGAATGTATCAATTTCTTGAGAATTTCTTGCAATTTTGTTTTATATTGAATAGGAATGGTTTATGGAGAAATAGGGCAAGGAACATTCTCCAAATCAAGCATTCTAATGTATATAGAAATTTAAATAAGCTGATAATAAGGATGTATAATATTCGTGGGCATCATTTAGTAAAATGTTCTGAAATCATATAATGTCCATATGAAGTCTTCATTAAAAGATTATTCATGTTATTCTAATAATTCTATATTTTACTTAATATAGTAATTAATATAGATTTGAGGTACTAATGGATGGATAGATTTTCTTAAAAATAGATGAATCTTTGGAGATAACTAAAACCAACCATCTAAATTATGTTTATGTAAAAGTATGATCATTTCAATATTCATTATTTATTAACATATCTATGTCAATGCTAATTGTTCATATTCTGTAATTTCAACTTCATCTGACTCTTTTAGTATTTTCTAGAATTTATTTATGCTATTTTAATCTAATTCATATCCATTAATTATTAAGTAAATCCCACTAATCCAAGTTTATCTTGAATTTACTTCATCCAAAATATTTAGAGCCATTTGATATTGTTGTCCCTCTATTGCCTCAAATAATTTGTATTGATTTGTTTTTAAGTTATTTTTCATCATTTCAACATGATTTTAAGGTACCAATTATAACATTTATTATTAATGTTAAATTAGATAAACTAAAAATTCAATTTTTATTCATTTATTTTCTTGATATCCAATTATTATATAAATTGCTTGGTATTAGATATCATAATATATAAGTACTACACTTATTCTAAGTAAAATATTTCATCTGAACTAAATTTATTTAGTTTGCCAGAAAGATTAAAAATACTTAATGATGCATATGCTTAATTATATTTTTAATGAAGAACTCAAAATGAGATATTCAAATATTTTTAAATATTATACATTAAATAATTGTATTAATTATCATATTGGTTTAAAGTATTAATTTAGATCAATAACCCTTAAAATAGGTTCAGTAAATGATTTATAAATTAATGCAAAATTAATTGATTGCTTTCAAATCTCAATCCATAATAATAATACTTTTAAAATAAACTTCTATTTTATTTAAACTAATTTATTTTGGAAATAAATATCTATTTTAGATATATATAATCATAATAAAATAAATAGATGAAAATATAAAAAAATTTAATTAATCAAGTTTAGAACCAACATCGAAAAAATATTGAATTGGAAAAATCTTTTGTATTTTTTAAATATTAATATTTAAGAAAGTCTTGCATAGATAAGATTCACTCTTTTTGAAATTCATTAAGTGGATTTTAATTAATCAAATTGATATTATACAATTCTCCTATTAAAGTATTAATTATTTGATATTTTTATACGTCATTCTTTTAATTAATTAATAATTTATATGAAACTCTATATATATAGAAATATTCATAATTTGAATATACAAATGTCTTCTGTTTTAATTTATACTAAATTAAATTAAAACTAAGTTGTAAAAGATAATCTAAATAATTTATTTATAGAAATGATTCAATTTAATTTAAATTTACTATTTCTAAATTTAAAATTATTAAAGATGAGAAATACTAAAACTATTTAAAGTGTTTTCAAGTACTTGTTAAATTAATTAATGTTTATCATAGGTCAGTATACTATTTATAGTATATCTACTTTTTGGTATTGATTGAAAATATTGAATTTGTTAAAAATGAAAGGAATTGTTTTGTGATTTTATTCATCTTAAAATGAAAATAAACTAATTAGATTTATCTATATATGAGGTATTAAAGAAAGAATCTTAGTTAGTAATATTATCATTTTTATTTATTTATTTTAATTATAAATGGAAGAGACTAAATTTCATTAATTCAAGAATTCTTTTATTTAGAAGAATCAAAATTAAAATTCTGAAAGACTAATAAAGATCAATAGTCAATATTCTCAATATCAATCTCAAAGTTAGAGAGTAAAAACAGAAATCAATTAACCTTGTTTAAGTTCAAGATTAGAAAAGTCTAAAACAATTTCTTAGTCTGTAAGAAATTTAATAATTATTAAAGACTTATTATTAATCACCTTTATTGAGAGATGGACAGCTGGATTAAATTGATAAATTAAAGAGGATGGATAAAAATGATTTTTTTGGTTAACTGAATAGTTAGGATCCATATAGATATCCTAAAAAACTGGAGGAATTACCATGGAGTTCATCAAAAAGTATAATATAGCAATAGAGAAGATAGAGATTTCCTAAGCTAAGGTTGTTCTACCAATAGATTAAATAGATAAGGTTATTCCTTTATCTAAGTTTTCCAGTAATCTGACAAAGAGAGTAGTCAAAGATAAAATTCATAGAGGAATACCTCTTAAGTATTATAATGAATATAAAATTATAGACATGATGTTCAAATGCTTGCTGAATGGACTGATTTAATGCTTGAGTAAGCAGTAGAAAAAAACTAAGGATAATCAGCAAATATGTATGAAGATTTGTAATAAATATTTACACTTTGTTTAAAAGAATTGATACGTTAAATTTCATTTGATTGTATAGAAAAAAGGTACATATAAATTTATATTATAAAAAAAGTGTACTTTTAGAAAAGATATGGACTCAATATATTGAAATTAATTAATCTGTTTATTAATCAGTCCTTGATTAAAATAATTCATTAGAAAAGGATCATTTATAAGAAGTAATGAAAACTCATTAAGCATATTAAAATGAAATAGATAAATATTTAATCATTCTGAAGAATCAAAAAACAGATATGGATCAAATTATGGAAAGATTGATGAAGTTAAAAGGAAATACTAAATATTTAAAAAAAAATAATAGATATTTGAATTCATAAATAAAAGCATTAAAGATTGAAATATAGGATCTAAAAAATGAAAATAAATAATATTCTGATTAAATAGAGAAGATTACAGAAGATTTACATGAATATTAAAGAAATGTATAACTGTAATATGAATAATTTTAAATGTCAAACTAATATTAGACAAAAATAGAATATGAATAAGGTGTTGCTAAGAAAAAGATTTTTAGAGCTGGAACATAAAAATAATTAGTAATTCATTCTATGCCTCAATATTAATTACCAGAAATCTTTCCAATGAAAAGAAAAAGTTTTTAGAATGTTGAAAAATAACCAACATAATAAGAAAAAATGAAAATAATTTTGAATGAAAGTGCATCATTTAGTGATATTGAAATATTATTAGAAGAAAGAGCTACTGATACAGATGATCTAAATTAAATATTATAATTAAGAAAAGAAGTTGAAATCTAAACAATAGAAAAGAAAAGTCTATCTATTTAAATACCTAAGTATATATTTATATAATATATATATAGATTTGAATTAAGAGATAGAAGATAATAAATAATATAAACAGAAATATCTTATTTAAATAAATCAACGAAGTTTACTCAAACTGAATTTTCAGATGAACTATTAGAATCGATTAAATTAGAAGAAGAACATTTATAACAATTACATGAAGCAATCTAAAAAGCAACAGAATAATATTAAAAAATATTAGATTAAATAGAAAAAGGACAATAACCTAAATTGAAAGAATTATTTGAACATTTAGATGAATTTTCAAGTTAAATGAAAGATAACTTTAACAAATAAAAAGAAGCCAGAACTAATTTAATATTAGTTAATAGTACTTTTAAAGATGAAAATAATAGAAAGGAGGAATAATTATAATAATATGTAATTATTTCTTATTTTATTAAGTAAAAAAAAGTAGCAGAATTAGAAAAAGCAAATGAACTTGCCAATTAAGAAATGGGAGAACTTGAAGCTTAATTGGAAATTTATGAGAAAGTATATACAATATTTATTAAAAGATAAATGAGAAAATAGAAAAAAAGTATTAAAAATTAAAATCAATCAAAACAAACATGGTAGAAAAATCACAAACTCTTGTTGTTTAACTTACTTAAACTCATAAATTTGCTGAAATTATGAAAAAAAGAATTTAAGATAAAAGATTGAGCACTTTGGGACCTATATAAAATAATTAAAAATCTAGGTTATCAAATGTATCCCCTTTCGGAGCATAAATTACTTAATCAATTAGTTAACCTTAAATAACAATTTAACCTAGTTAGAGTGAGTAATTAATTTAATTGGAAAAGAAAGAAGAATTATTGCCTATTCCTGAGAAATCTACTTTAAAGAAATAATCAAGTAAAAAGAATTTAGTTCAATAACCACCTTAACAATAAGCAATGTTATATAGATAAACTTAATCATAAAATACTTTAGAGTTACCTTTATTATAATAAGACAAATCTTTTACATCTCAATATAATATTTCTGTAATTGAACCTGATGATAATTAATTTGCATCTCAAAAATTTTCATCTTAACAACCAAGTTAACAATAAAGTGAAGAAGTAATTTAAACTATAAATATTTTAATTAGGAAGGAACAGATATGTAATTGACACCCAAAAGTAGAGCATCTAATTAATCAAAACCTAGACCTACTTATAAAATTGTAAATTTACATAATATTGATTAATAGTAATTACCTTCAAATTCAAATTAAGGTACTAAAAAAGGATCAAAAACTTAAAAAAAAGGTTCTATTATGCCTTAGCAAAATGATTAGGTATAATTCTTTTAAGAAACAATAACTAATTTTATAAACTAAAACTTTACTTCAAGTGATTCTGATAGTGATGACTCAGAGTTTAATCTAAGATTAGAGGAAATAAAATAAAGGAAAAGAAAGATAGGATAATCCAAGAAATCATATTTTTCATAAGCACCAAGTAATATTATTAAAATATATGATTAGAATTTCAAAACAAATAATCATTAGACAGTCCAGGATTGAATATGGTTAAGAATAATATTGTAAAATAATTGGCAACTAAATTTGTAACTAATTAAAAGGAGATAACTTCAAAAATGAAAAAGGGTACAATTTTAAAATTCATATCATAATTTTATGGAGAAAAACTAAAATAAACTTAAAATAAAACTTCATTACATATAATTTGTTATGAATACTTTTTTAATACATATGGATTTAAAAATATTGCAGAGTAAAAGTTAATAGGTTTTTATGAATCAATATTTGTACATAGAGATAATATAAGAATTAACTTATTTGGTAGATTCCTTTAACTTTATAGTTCTTTGTCAGTTGATGATCTTGAGATTTACATTAAAACCTTAAAGCAATTAGATGATGAGAATTAAACACTAGATACTGAAAAAGTATTAATTTAATTTAAAGCAAGGGATAATTTATTTTGGTGGAAAAAGCAATTTAGATACTCGATCAAATACATTCATAAATCCCTTAAGAATATAGAAATAACATAGTGTCCGATATTAAAATGAATTATATTGAGAGAAATATGAAACCATATATTGATTATGACTATTATATAAGTAGAATTTTGACAGGTAAGAAAATAGAATGATGATTTAGGATATTAAATTGTAAAGAAGATGCATATGACACATTATTAAGAAGTTTTTAATTCTGCTGATATGGATTTAGATAATATGATGGAGTATTAAGAATTCAAGAAATTATATTATTATTTTGAAACTTGTTAGGGTAATTAAATTCCTGAAAGTATGATGGAAAGTTAATTTATATCAAGATGTGATTTAATATCAAATAATGAAGGGGAAAGGGCGATGTCTTTTGATAGATTTATAACATTCTCAATAGAACATAATTTATTTTCAGAAGATAAGTTTACGGTATTAAAGAATAAAAATATTTTGTAGAATTTTGCAAATAGTGTAATGGAGGAAGATCCAATAAAAAGTATAGAAGATTTGCATAATCATTGGATTGATGTAAAAACAAGGTTGGGAATTAGGGTTTAATATGCAGGTGAAGATGAAATTGAATATTTTCAAAGCGTTATAAAAAAATTAGACAAAGTAAATTCTTGATTAATAAAAAGGCATTAACAAATGATGATAAAAGATAAAGTATATGGATTTCATATAGAATAATTGATAATGATACAAGATAGTTATACATAAACAAATTAGTAGAAGGGTTAATTCCAGCTGAATTCAATCAAATTATTGAGATTGATGATTATTTATCTGAAGACAATAACTGATTAACAATTATTTATATATAACTACGATAATAATTTATTTAGATAAAATCATTTAAGTTTAAGTAATCTTTAAATGGTTTCATTAGTTCTGGATGTTTCAGATATCATTTTATGATGTCCTGATTTATTATTTGAGATTATGTGATTTTGAGAATTAGTGCCTGTTGCCTTAGAACTATTACCTAAACTTTTATTTCTTTATGAAGCTTTCTATTATTAAGCATTACAGATATCAGAAATTACATTCAATGTGTTTCTTGTTTTTTTTGGATTATTAGCAAAACCATTTTTTAGTAAATATTGACTTGCTTAAATAATTTAAGATCTTTAAGTAATAGATTGAGCATGTTATTTAAGTAATTGATTATATTTAATAAATAAATCTTATTCTTATGGGCTACGATGTTAAATTTAATTATTAAACTTACCAGATTTATTATGTTATGATTATGATTTCAGAGGTGTTGAGAGTCTCATAGAATTCTATTGATATAGATTTGTAATAGATGCTGGATATTCACTACTATAATCAGCTTTTTTTAATCTATGATCTGAATGACAAAACTAATAAATTTATTTAAAATTACTTTCTGCCTTTTACACGACCATTTATTTCACTATCTGTATGAATATTGTGTTAATGATCTACTACTGATTCTTTTAATTATTCATTCTCTTTTATCAACTATCTATAACTCTCTGTAGATTTACCCAGATCTTTCTTTAATCCCTAAATTTGTTATTATTTCAAATAAATACATAAATTTTTTTATTTAATTATTCTATTGTTTCTTTATGTGACTTTTCAAGGTCTTCTATTTTTTATAATAAGCTATCGTTATATAGCTTTAATTATTATTCAATCTAAAGAACTAATCAAAATTATCTTACACTAATATGTCCTCTAATCTCTGCTTCATATTTTTATATAATTTATTCTAATTTTTCATACTCTTCTTCTGCATGATAACTTTAATGAGAACTATTATCATTAAGATTAAGTTTCAGAAGTGCCATCTTTTTCTCTACTTTCTTCATTAAAGTCTTGAATATATTGGCAATAATTTTAATTAAGCCTGCCAAAGAATCATAATCTTTCAATTGATTTTCAATTAACTTTAAGTCATTCTAATTCTCCAAATAACCTTCCAAACAAAATAACACCTAAATCTTCAGAAAGAAATGTTTACATCTTCCAATAAGGCTTTCAGAGGTGCTTCTATTAGGGATTCATTGATTTCACTCATTCAAATATATAAATTCAGTTATTTATTTAATAAATCCTTATATAACCATTAAAGAAATTAGATTATCTTAAGAAATATCACTCTTTTTATATACATCTTTTATTAAAATATTGTTATTGAAATCAGAAGAGATATTCCTAATTCTATTATGAGAAATTAAAAAAATACTCTTTAACAATAATAAACATGAAATATTATACTAAATTTAATATTATTATTTATAAAAATGGCAATGGATAATAGCAAATTTGAGTAAATGAGCAAAAATTTCCCTTCTGCTTTGAAATTCAGATTAAATCCTGTATATTATGGTGCCAGAGTAGGAATTCAAGCTTACTTAGGCTTATTAGTAGGAGGAAGTCTTTTAATATACTTAAATACTTTCAATGGCATTACATTCCCATATCTATATAAATAAGTAAATAATAATAAATTAGCGAATAGCAAAAAGTTGAATATTAAGCAGTGCCTGATTTTTATTCTAAATAAGTGTTATTGTACCAAAGGACAGTTCCAAATACTGTAAAATAATTATGAGAATAATCACATAAATAAAATAAGATATGCAAAATAATATCAATTTCATATTTCTGATTATTCAAGTTCCTCAATTTCAGAATCTTCTATTACTTCTTATTTTTAAACTTCTTAATGATTGTCAGTTCGTTTGATTTAATTTTATAATTTCAGCAAATTAGCTGGAGCAATTAAATCACTATCAATCAATACAGAAGTAGTGTAAATATCATTATTTTACCAAAGATATTCTCTATGTTCTACCAATTGTAAATTTAACAAAACAAACATCATATAAAGTATCATAAATAACCAATAGATTGGAATTACATACCATTTGTAATATAATTCCTAAACTAATAAGAAAGTTGTTAAAAAACTGATTGTTACAATATGAACACGATAGTATTTTACTAACAAATCATTATGTCCTTTAATAATGTCTCTGGTCTTTAGAAAACAATAAATACTTAAATAGGCTATACTCATAACAATTAAGAATGACTAAATAATATTAATAAAGTACCTCAAAAATTTTGATTTTACACAGACAAAATATGATATAAACTTTTGTGATCAAATGAATATAAAAGATAACATACTTTAGAGGTTTCTATAAATAATTGTATATTAATAAAAGTATACATTTGAGATAGATTCTGTGCAAAATTAGACGGAAATCAATATAAAAATGTAAATGATGATTAAACTTAGTCTTATTTATGATTTGATAAAATCTAGAGTCTGTTTAAATAGAAAAACATTACAAAAAATTTGCTTAATAAAATAGGTAATGAAATAGTGGAAAGATGTATAAGGAGTGCTGTTTCCTGAATTTCTTAGATTTTAACTTTGATTTTAAGTTAATCAATATATTGTTGATCAGGTTAAACATCTATTTCTTAGAGAGACATTTTTATTAAATTATATTTATAAATAAAATGAGTGATGAGTTAGCAAAGTTGAAAAAAGAAATTCTATAAGATACAGAATTGTAAGCTAAGAAATAGAGATTTGCATTATTTTCATCTCCAGTGCCACTTGGTTTAGGTGATGACAGTTACGATTTTAAAAAGAGACGTATTTATGATATAAATATAATATAGCCCCTAGAGGAGAGAATGGCAAACCAATTACTGAAGCTACAAATGTAAAGATTGGAGCTCCAAAAAGTGGAAGAATTAAGAGCTCATATTTTAGTTAGGTTTCTTTCAATTCTATAGGTGATCCTTATATGGATCCATAAAGAAAAGATTTACAATATGAATTAGAAAAGACTAAGAAAATATTATTTAAAGATCAACCATTTAAACCTGCTTCTGGTTATAAAGAATTACTTGGAGGACCTTGGCCACATATGAAAGAGTTTGATATGAAGAAAACTAGAAACTATAAAACTGCTGATGGTAGAGTATGGTCAGCTCCTAGAAATATTACAACAAATCCAGCTAATAAAGAGTTATTGAAAGGATTTCCACATATGAAAGATGAATTCGATAGATTTCACTAACATTAATTGGTATTATATCTATTTAACTATTCTAGAAATTATAAATGGAAGCTAAAAGAAAAGAAAAAGAGTTAGCATTTAAAACAACTGTAGCAGGAGGAGAAAATTTTAATAAAGATAAAATTGTATTTGGATTTGATGGAAAAGCACCTCCTCCAAATAAAGAAAAATCACATGATATGCATATTATGAAACATGAAACAAATTTCAAACCAGCTAATCCTGGAAAAAAAGGTTTTGAAGGGGAATTCTAATAAATTACTTATAAACCAGACCCACTTAAACCTACTAAAAGAAGAGAATGGATTAAAGGAAAAGAATAATTTAAACCTAATAATTTAGGTACATTAACTAGACCAACCCCATCAATCACATGTTTTAAATAAAATATTAGAAGAGTTATGAGTGCTAAAGGATTCTGAAAATACAACAAATTATCATATTATAACTAATTATTAAATATATTAAAATTCTTGTCCAATTTCAAATAAAATAATAATAACTTATTCTTCTTATTCTTATTCTTATTCAAGATTTATATTTTATATTTTACTATTAAGATTATTTAGAAATATTGTTTTTATTATTTCTATAAATTACTTTCACTTGTAAATAAATTTATTGTGAATAATGATTCAACATTTAATATTTATATTCTAGAATAAAAGTATATTCTATTATAAAATTATATCAAAAATAAATAAACAAATTTAACTGAATAGAAATACCTGGATAGTATTTTATATTCTTGATTTGTATACTTTTGATAGCACAACCAATAGATTTACCTTATTCTTCAAAAATTAATTCATTATTAATCAATAACATACTAAGAAATTCAATACCATTACCATATTTAATTCCTATACCATCATGAATTAAATCTATCTTTCATTCTATAATTTTATTAGCATTTATGCATTTCAATAGGATAATCAATTAAATTAAGTAATGGATTATAAGGAGTTATATTGATGAATGTTTATTCATAATTAATTTAATAACTAAACTATTCTCATTATCCATAGGTGGTTTAGGTGTTTATAAAATAAGAGTTTCATATCCTGATTCCTTGTAAGCTAATTACAATTTATTTCCAAATATTAATATGTTTAGTCCTTCATTAATATACTTTTTAAAAACTTTTCTATTTCTAATGGAATATCCTCAATTTTTTCTCACTTTCTACTTTTCAATTTTATTATCTATATTTTCCAATTTCATAATAATAAATTATTATTAAAATGAACGTTGCCGAAATTGGTGAACTAAAAAAGTAATTTAATTTAAGTATTAATCAAGATAATTGACAAAGGCATTAACAGAAAATGCACATTTGATGTAGAAAAATCAATTGTTAGAATTAAAATTAAAAGAAACAGAAGAGCGTAATTGTAATATATAAAAAATGAATGGAACTATTATGCATGTTCTTAATGATTTAAATGTTTAAAATAATAGACCATCAACTGAAATTTTAAAATAATAGGATTAATTCAATATGAAATTGATGTAATATCAAAAGAAAATTGAGTCTTATGAAACTTAAATAAAGAATTTATAAACTCAGTTATAAGAAGCATTGATTTCTAAGAGTGAATAAAATCAAAGAATAACACAACTATAAGAGCATGATTCATAATTACTTAAGTAAATAGGAGCATTAGAATCTTCTGTAAAAACATTAACTGGACAATTATAATTGTAGAGTAAGTAAACTTAAGAATTCTCATAATAATTGGAAGATCTTGAATTTGAGAGTCAGAAAGTTAAATTTTCATAGAATGTTAAGATTGAAGAATTAAATGAAGAGAATATGAAATTAAAAGAAGAATTGAAATCTTTAATGGGACAATATTTAAGAAAGACATCTTCTTCTATGTAAACTAGTGTGCCTGCTTCACCTTAAAATGTTAGATTATAACCATAACCTCCTTAAACAAGTACAACTCCAATTAATAAAAAATAAACTATAAAAAGAAGAACAACTACTACAATCTCATAATGGAAAAAATGATATTAAATTTATTATTATGAAATATAAATTATTACATAAATAAATAATTAATGGCAACTTTCTAATAAAAGTATGATTCATTGAAATAAGAATTTAATGAAGTAGATATCAATGATGATGGTAGATTAGATAAGAATGAGATGTTCCAAGTTTTAGATTCTAAGGTATTATTTTTTTTGATTTCTGTGTTGATTAGATTGGAAAATAATTTGATCGAGAGATTGCAGAAGAATTGTGGGCTAATTTGGATATTAATAATGATGGTAAAGTAACAGCTAATGAATTTATTCAAATACTTTTGAAAGCAGAAGAAAGTTTAAAGAGTAAAATAAACAATTGCCGAACTACTTTAGAATTAAACTATTAACAGAAAAGAGAAACAGAAACTAATTTGGATTATTGTTAGTAAAATGAGAAATTGAATAATTTTGGTGTTATGGAAGGCAGTCAATTATGTGTTATTGTGGTTCAAGCTGCTAATCTTAAAGCAGATGGTAAATAATTAGATCCATTTGTTACTTTGTAATTTGATAAATTTGAAAAGCAAACAATAATAAGTAAAGGTACAAATCCAGTTTGGAAAGAGAATTAGAAGTTTTATTTTCCAGTATAGACTGGTAAA